TTGCTTCTACAGACACGTTTGAGACATTTAGATAAGTACAAGTAAAAAAGCCGTGCAGCACAATAAATAAAATACATGAGCCAGTGTCAAGGGTGCTGGGGCAAAGCTAACAGATAAACGTGAGTTTTCAGGCAAGACTTGAACTCCTGAAGAGCAAGAGCTCGTTGCTTCACTGCCATTAGCCAGATGGCCCTAGAGGGAGACGTGGCTGTAACGGTGCAGCCAGATCTGGAGGAGCAATTCAATTCAAGTTTATTTATAAAGCGCCAAATCACGACAAGAGTCGTCTCAAGGCACTTCACATAATAATCATTCCAACACAGGTCAGTTCATTAAGCCAATCAGAAATAATGTGTCCTATATAAGGAACCCAGCAAATTGCATCAAGTCACTGACTAGTGTCAGTGACTATACAGCAATCCTCATACTAAGCAAGCATGCAGCGACAGTGGAGAGGAAAACTCCCTTTAAACAGGAAGAAACCTCCAGAGAATCCTGGCTCAGTATAAGCAGCCATCCTCCACGACTCACTGGGGATGGAGAAGACAGCGCGCGCACACACACACACACACACACACACACACACACACACACACACACACACACACACACACACACACACACACACAAGTAATGTGTCTATAGTTATATTGTGATGTCTTAGTAAATATTCTATTTGGTGAAAGATAAACTTTATTGTATTTATCCTAGTGGATCTATAATTAAACGGGTAAACTAGTAGTAGCACATCCAACGTCAAGGAAAGTAAAAAGTTATTATCAGGACAGAGAGATACAACATACAGATACAACGGCAGTCCGCGGCCCACGTCGCCGCCGCCACCATCAGGCTGTCTCTTTTGCAACTTTTATTCATTTTTTATTATAAACATTTCTAGTAGTTAACTATGAGATTTTATTCATTATATTTGATGGCTGTTTTTTACAGTGTGAATAGATTTTATACCTTATATCTGACTAGCTTTATTGTCACATGTGTACGATTTACGAAATAAAAATAAATCATGAGAATGAATATGCATCATTTTTTTCAAGCATCCATCAGCGATGGAGGAGGTAATGTGAAAGGGTTATTTTTCACCACAACGTCAGGGTAGTGAAGGAGGTGTGGACAGGTTTAGGACTGGTTTACAACGAGAGATTGGGGAGAAAGTTTCATCGGATGAGGCTCGTGATTTTCTCTCAGAACAAGACGCTCACACACTCCACAAACCAGCGAGAGTTCGTTTTCCGTGAAACGAGTTTTTTGTCTCAGGGCCGCTAAAGCAGTTTCAGGCTGACTTATGCGACATGCAGGCCTTGTCCAAATCAAACGATGGTTTTTATTACCTATTAACCGTCATAGATGGCCTAAGTACGAGCCCTGAAAAACAAATCAGGGAAAGATGTTACAGAAGCTTTTGCTTCAGCTTTGAAAGACAGCGGTATCCCTAAAAAACTGCAGACGGATGCTGGTAAAGAATTTTTTAATAAGAAATTTGAAGCCGTCATGAAGAAACACGGTATTGGGCACTTGGCCACAGCCAGCAGCGTAAAGGCCAGCGTTGTGGAGAGATTCAACAGCCCAAACACCCATCGCTGCGTAGATGTGATTCAAGATTTAGTACGAGGTTGTAACCATAGCTACCACTCATCCATCAAAATGTCCCCCGCTGACGTAAACATGGAAAACCGAAGGCAGGTGTTTTCTAACCTTTACGGAGCCGCCTCACTGAAGCCTGCAGAGACGATGAAGTTTAAAAGGGGAGAAGTTGTGAGAATTTCCAAACTCAGAGGTGTTGTTGATAGAAAATGTGAGCAGAGTTTCACGCACGAGCTGTCCACAGTGGATGGGTGTCTTCATCGCTCGACACCGGTTTATAAACTCAAAGATGTTGATGGGGAAACAACCGAAGGGTCATTTTACGAAGCCGAGCTGCAGAAAGTAAACCTGTCGAGCGAGAGATCCTTCCACACTGAAAACGTTTTAAAACGCCGGACATTCAGAAGAGAGCGACGAGTTTTTGTTAAGTGGCTCGGCTGGACTCCTCCTTGAAGCGTCACCTCATCGTGGTGGAGGAGTTTGAGTGCCCTAATGATCCTAGGAGCTGGTGTCTGGAGCACTTTGTGCCCCTGGTAGGGTCTACCATGACTAATGGGTCTCAGGTGAAGGGTGAGACAAAGAACGGTCCAGAGGATCTTTCATGGCGACTGGTGTTTGGCGCTGTCTCGCTCCCTCCAGCATCGCAGGTTTCTCGTTCAGGCAGGGGTGTCTCGGGGAAGATACCTGAGGGGAGGGGTGAGTGTTCAGAGCCTAGCTTGTTTATACGGATCCGTTGTAGCAGCTTTAACTTCAGGGTTCATTTCAAGATCCTGGTTCTGGTCTATAGGGCCTTACATGGACAAGCACCATCTTACATTGGTGATCTTCTTAGTCCCTACACCCCCAGCAGGTCCCTGAGGTCCAGTGACCAAAGCCTACTGGTTGTGCAGCACCAGGCTAAAGGTCAAAGGTGACAGATCATCTGCTGCTGTGGCCCCCAGACTCTGGAGCTCTCTCCCCCTGAGCCTGAGATCAGTGGACTCAGTGGTCTCCTTTAAACTCACCTGTTCAGGTTTTGGTGGGACCACCACTGCACGTGAACTTCCTTTCATGACCGGGTTTCCATCAGCTCAGCTCATTTCTGGGATCCCTCCCCTTTTGTCTCGTTTTTATTATTTTATTGTAATTGTGGAGCGGTTATGAGTCTGAGAGGTGCAACACAAAGAACCGTTTTTGTTTACGCTCCACGTTTACATGTCCGCTGCAGAAGGGACGTCTGGTCCACCTCTCTGTGCTTCTTCCTGTGTTTGACTGACAGCTGACTGGACGTGCTGAGGGTCCTCCTGGATAAAGGTCTGTGCAGCTTTGATGAACTCTGAAAGCTAAAATGTGTGTTCCCACCTTCAGAAAGGTCGCCTGCTTGTGTTGGACGTAAGCACTGTGTTCATCTCCCGTCCAACAGTGGGCGGGGCTTACCCTAACGTACCTGTTGGTATCATTCTACTGAGGTTTCTTATGACATGAAGCAATAATGTTTACAACACAAGCAGAAGATCTTATGAAAGAGTGAAGTTTAGTTAAGAACGTTTATTTAGCTTTATCTCCAGCATTGCTGACGTCTGCACTAATTCAGACGATCAGAACAGGAAGTAGAACAAGGCCCACACTCGTTCATCCTCTCCAACAGAGCGTCGGCACAGCTGAGAGCTTCAGTGATCGTTGAGATGTTTAGAGAAGCAGCAGATGCTGTTTGTTGTTTTCACCTCTAGGCCCTCTCACTTCTTGCCCCCAGGGTGTGCTCATCAAACAGGTACTCTGCCATCTTGTTGGTGCTGGCATCCATCTTGGTCAGGTTGGTGATGTGATCGCCGAGCTTCTTGATGGCTTCCACCTGCTCGTTCAGGTAGTGGCTCTCCGTGAAGTCACACAGCTGAAAACAGGAAGTTGTTCAGCTTTGGGGAGAAGACGTTTCAGGTGAAAATCTGAGTTTGAAGCTCGACTCACAAGAGGATCTTGGCGATCAGAAGCCAGCTTGTGCAGATCCAGCAGAGCCTGGTTGACGTTCTTCTCCAGCTGCAGAGCACACTGCATGGCCTCCAGGCCGCTCCCCCACTCGTTACGCTCTGGTTTCTGCAAGGACAGATGCACAAAGAAGTTGTCTCCAAATCAGAATGGAGACTAGGCAGCAGCTCCTGAACCAATGACGGTGTCTGAAGGTCAGTCACCTTCCATCAGTAAGCAGAGACTGGACTGGATGTGTTTGGACTCACCCTCACATCCTGCAGGAAGATGCGTCCTCCCCTCTTATTCTGGAAGGCCAGCAGCTTCTCAGCATGCTCCCTCTCTTCGTCGCTGTTCTCCTTGAAGAAATGAGCAAAACCTGGAAGGGCCACGTCATCACGGGAGAAGTAGTGGGCCTGTTGGGGAAGCAGACCAGAGGAACACGGTGTCATCGTTACTCGGACTAAAACAGAAGTGCTTCTATTCCACGTTAAAAGTAGGCGGTGGAAGGAAGTACACCAGCGGGTTCTCGCCTGAAGGAAACTGGACTTCTTGAACATATAACGCATCTTTAGGTCTGAAGATGTGGGACTTCCAAACGGGTTTTTGACGAGCTGTAAGGATTTATGATGTGAAACATTTTCTGACCAACATATGATAATAGGACACGGTGGTAAGGCACCTTTAATAACACATAATGGTATTTTTAACCATGTTGATGTCGCCAACAATAGAAAAAACAGTCATTTTGACCCTACTGGCTTTCCACAGTCCTTGTATGTCGACCTATCAATAAATCGCCCTGCCACGTTTCTTTAATGATGGTGACCAAACAACAGCTTTTCAGTCAAAAAGCTGCAGATACAAAATTATCTGAAAATTTCAGTGATTAAAGTAATAAAATAGGGAAAAGGTTAAAAAATAACTAAATTATTAAAATGCAAATGAAGGAAGAAACTAATTTCCAAATGGCTCTCTTTCATAACATAATGTTATTTGTTATTATTATTATTATTATTATATAACATAATATGTTATTATTATTATTATGATTATATAACATAATATATCATTATTTATTATTATTATTGTTATTATTATTATATTGTTATTATTGTATAGCATAATATATTATTTATTATTATTATTATAACATAATTTATTATTATTATTATTGTTATTATAGTATAACATAATATTTTATTTATTATTATTATTATCATAACATAATTTATTATTATTATTATTGTTGTTGTTGTTGTTATTATTATATAATATAATATATTATTATTAAACATAATTTATTATTATATAACATAATATATTATTATTATTGTTATAACATAATATATTATTTATTATTATCATTATAACATAATATATGATTTAATATTATTATCATAATAACATAATATATTGTTTATTATTATTATATAACATAACATTTTATGTATTATTATTATTATTATTGTTATTATTATATGAAATAATATATTATTTATTATTATTATATAACATAATATATTATTTAATATTATTATTATAACATAATATATTGTTTATTATTATATTATTATTATTATTGTATATAACATAAATATATTATGTATTATTATTATTATATAACATAATATATTATTTATTATTATTATTATTATATAACATAATATATGGGAGGTCCTGCTTGTTCTAGAAGATATCTGCTCCTGGTTTTAATCAGTGGGTGATCAACATGTTTCTGTAGAGTTTCATGAGCTGCTAAGCTGGAAAATAAGCTGTTAAACCAGGGGAGCAGAGAAACAACTAAAACATGCAGGATAGAGGACTTCCAGGGTCTATTCAGTGTAAACTGTACATAAAACTTACAGACTAAACTCAGGTGAGAGTAGAGGTACTTCATAATAACATCACTTAAGTAAAAATAAAACTACAAATCCGTAAAATCACAGCTTGACGTTCATGTTTCTCAAAAGGTTATTTTCTTCAGCCATGAAGCCAATGGGGCGCAATGAGGTTTGTTCAAGTGGTGGTGCAGGAGTGTGACATCATCAGAAGGGCGTGCCCCTGAGCAGACCAAGTGTCCTTTCTTAGGAATAAGTTCACCCTTATTTAACTAAAAGCTGTAGAAGTAGTGTTAAAGATGTGATGTCATAAGTGATGATCCCGTACCATTTACCAGATGATGATGTAAGGATGTAGCTTCTTACCATAGAGGTGTAGGTATAGGAGGCAAACAGCTCCAGGTTGATCTGGTTGTTGATGGCGGCCTCACAGTCGCGGTGGTAGTTCTGACGCACCTGAGACTCCATTTTAGCTGGTTTCTTTGTTTTTGTCGATAAAACAACAAAAATAAAGCTTAAAGTTAGCTTTGTAGCTCAAAAGTTCCGTTCAAACACTGTTGAAGCAAGAACTTGACTCTTCTGACCGTAATGGTCCTGAGGGCTTCCTGTATTTATACTTTGCAAAAGAGGTAACATCAGCCAATCAGCAGACAGAGTGAACTCAGACCGTAACAAAAGGAGATGAAGTTGTTAAATTTAGATGAGCCTCCTTAAATCAGTTCTTGGAAATCAGCGTTGAAGTACCTCAGGTCTGAATGTGACCTGCTGGCAGTCAGGGAAACGACATCATCAGAGCTTTTCACAAAGAAGGAACTCAAATCTATCCAACATAAATTCATTTACAGCCGCAGCCCGAGCGTGTCACCAGATTTAACCAGATTTAACCAGATTTAACCAGATTTAACGAGGTTTTCTTCACCTTCTGCCTGTGCGTGTCAGAGAGCTGGGGTTTCTCTGACAACAAAACACTCAAAACGTCTTCTTACCAGCCGATCGGGTTCTGAACAAGACTTATAGAACAGAACAAAATAGAATAGAACGATCCTTTATTGTTGTTATTCTCAGAGGTACAACAACAGGGAGGGTTCTCCCACTGAGCCACCATGCAGATACAGTCATTAAAGAACAAAACATGATCAAATATGATGAAGACACACAAAAAACAACCTAAAGGATTATTAGGAACACCTGTTCAACTTCTCCTTAAGGCAATTATCTAATCAACCAATCACATTTAGAGGCGTGGTCCTGGTCCAGACCATCTCCTGAACTCCAAACTGAAGGTCCGAACGGGAAAGAAAGGTGATTTAAGCTATTGTGAGCGTGGCGTGGTTGTTGGTGCCAGACGGGCCGGTCTGAGTATTTCACAACCTGCTCAGTTACTGGGATTTTCACCCACAACCATTTCTAGGGTTTACAAAGAATGGTGTGAAAAGGGAAAAGCATCCAGCATGCAGCAGTCCTGTGGGCCAAAAGGCCTTGTTGATGCTAGAGGTCAGAGGAGAACGGGCCGACTGATTCAAGCTGATAGAAGAGCCTAACCCTCGTTACCATCGAGGAACGCAGCAAAGCGTTTGTGAAGCCAACACGCACAACCTTGAGGCGGATGGGCTACAGCAGCAGAAGACCCCACCGGGCAGGTACCACTCATCTCCACTACTAACAGGATGAAGAGGCTACAGTTTGCACCAGCTCACCAACAGTGGACAGTTGAAGACTGGAAAAATGTAGCCTGGTCTGATGAGTCTCCGTTTCTGTTGAGACGTTCAGATGGTGGAGTCAGAATTTACCGTAAACAGAATGAGAACATGGATCATCATGCCTTGTTACCACTGTGCAGGCTGGTGGTGGTGGTGTCATGGTGTGGGGGATGTATCCATCCTCTAATGGCTACTTCCAGCAGGATAATGCACCATGTCATAAAGCTCCACCGTCACCAGATCTCAACCCGATAGAGCATCTTTGGGATGTGGTGGAACGGGAGCTTCGTGCCCCGGATGTGCGTCCCACACATCTCCATCAACTGCAAGATGGTGTCCTGTCAACATGGCCGACATTTCTAAAGACGCTTTCAGCTCCTTGTTGAATCAATGCCACGTAGAATTAAGGCGGTTCTTTATTTTACCAGACGACTCGACTGAGAACTGATTCTCATTCACAACGACCATCTGGCCAAGAGGCAGCAGCAACAGACACATAGTTAGCTTTACATCAGAGAAAAACAGGTGAGATAAACACAAAAACAGGTGAGATAAACACAAAAACAGGTGAGATAAACACAAAAACAGGTGAGATAAACACAAAAACAGGTGAGATAAACACAAAAACAGGTGAGATAAACACAAAAACAGGTGAGATAAACACAAAAACAGGTGAGATAAACACAAAAACAGGTGAGATAAACACAAAAACAGGTGAGATAAACACAAAAACAGGTGAGATAAACACATGCAAGGTCAAAAGAAGACAAAACAGTTAGAAACGGGTTGCTGAGTGATAAATAATCAAGTTTATGAAGAAGTTTATAGGAAGCAGTTCTACACATGATGTCACCGTAATCGAAGATGGAAGGATTGTCATGTTGACCAAGGTTTGCTTTGCAGAATGAGTAAAGGATGACCTGTTGCTATAGCAACCCAATTCTTGACTTGACTTAAGAAAGTAATGAATTCATGTGAATGTCAGCTGAAAGTGTGCTGCCAAGCAGACACCCAGTTCTTCTCGTCCTATCGGCGCCGCGCTGCAAGCCTGGCCTGTGTGGAGAGTTAGTTAGTTAGTTAGTTCAGGCCTGCAGGTTAAAGGTTAACTTCTGGTCACGTTTGATGAAATGCTTGGCCTTTTGCTACGCTACACAATCACGGGCCCAAAAACACGTGACATGGTGTCACAACCAGCAAGACATTTATTAGCCCAATAAGAGGAAGAGGAGGAAAAAACAAAAATGATGCACACAGTGTAGAACTAATTATTTTCATCATCGGATCATTTACACATTTACATGGAAACCAATGAGAAGGACAGAGAACGGCTGTGATGACTGTCTAGGGTGTGCTCCACCTCTCACCCTACACCTGCACACCTGGTGAAGATGAAGCAGTTGAGCTAACGGGTGGATACAGCGCGCTGCTGTGAAAGTATGACATTTAACGGGGCAGAACAATGCCCGGGGTGCGTGGAGAGGGTTAGGGTTAGGAACGGACCAGAACTGGGCTAATGACTCCGCCCCCGAGCTGCAACAGGTACCACCAACATCCTAACCCACAGTCAGCTTTAAGGCAGACAGTGACTCAGCACTGTGAATGTTTAATCCTGAAAGAAGCATCAGGTTCAGCAGCAGATTGTGCCATGTCATTGTTGTGACTCAGCATTTTACTAGGTAGTCAGATGTCACTGTGAAAGTTCAGCTAGCTGGCAGGAGAAGTAGCATTTAGGTGTTAAATTCACACGTCGGCTGTTGTTGTTGGACACAAGTCCGTGTCCTTCTCCCTCTGACCTCTATAAACAATAATATAGAAATCATGACTGTTTCTTTTGCGGCTGCAAACATCCTCAGAGCTGACCAAGCCCCCACAATGTGGATGAAAAATTGAGGCCAACCCGGAAGTACCAAAAATTGCAGTTCCACCCTCGTCCACTAGGGGCTGGTGTCAGAAGCGAGCAAATCCTCATTGACTCCCATGTTAAAAATACCAATTTCACAGCAGAAATAAACATGTTTACAGCCTGGTACCAGAACATGTTTTTTTGTTTAAATGATCTAGTTTACACTCATGACAACTGGCCTGGAAACTGTTCCGGGATTTTGAGTCTCTGTGTGTGTATTCTTGTTTGGATATTATTTGTGCAATTGTTGGACAAAATGACTTGCTGTGGCATTAATTGCACTAATAGAGCGTCCAAGGAGTCTCCACTTCATTTTTTTCGGTAAGTAAAATTATATTTATGTATTTTAGGTCACTGCCGAGCTGAGCTTAGATTTTAACATGTACTGTTTAACCATGAAATTTAAATGTAATAGGGTAAAACCCAGTGCATTTAACATAATGCTGCACTTTAGAAAATGGGTTGAAATATAACATGTTGGTGGAGCTGGGTCCTCACTATCGGCTTGTGGAGCTCTCGGGAGACCGATGTTTTCCACCTGGTTCTCCCCAGCAACAGCTCGGCGCATCTGTGTCTGATCGCGGCTTCTGAAGCATCAGAGTAGGAAGTGACACCACCATCAGCGTCAGCTCTGAAGACGTTTGCAGCCGCAAACGAAACCGTCAGCAAGGTAAAGAAAAACCTTCTCTGTGTTTCAAAAAGAACCAAAAATGGAATTAGAAGTCAAACACAGTAAAAACGAACCAAAGATGTTCAGTTGTACTTTTTAAAGTTATTCTAAACTTGTCACACTACTGGTGCTCTTGGGGGCCCCCTGGTGGCGTGAGGGTCCTAAGACACTGTTTAACTCGAGCCGGCTCTGGGTGTAAAATAACTTTAAATGTCTTCAATAACTTGGTGATAGTTTACTTTACTGGTTTACTGCGTTACACGCCTTGTTTCCACCTCGACGTGTGTCTCAGATGGTAAATCACACGACTCTTCCTTCAGTTCCTGGGGCCCCGACAACAAGCTAGTTACCTCCTGGCTGGGGTGTGAGAGTGAATGGATGAATGATAAATTCTAGTCAAGGTCACATGGATGAACACTCAGCTAAAATAACGATTTCTCTTTAGATCACACTCAAGAGAAATCAACAGTTTACAAATTGTGGGTGTACTCGTGTTTCACGGAGAGCAAACATCCACCTGAGGAACTTAACACCTTTAGGCTGGATCATTTGTGCATTTCCAAGAACAGCCGTCTCATCGGCGCCTTTAAACTTTTAGGAGCACTCGAGTTACAGTTGGCTCTGACTGACGGGGAACGGTCGTCCCAGGTTAGTGTGGACAAAAAGTAAAGTTAACAGCTGAAATAGCAGGAAATAATACAGTTAAAGAGCAGACTGTAGAAGAAAGCAGTAGAGTGTGAAAAGTGGTCAGTGTATCCTCCAGCAGTCTAAGCCTATAGCAGCATAACTACAGAGATAACTCTGGATAATCTATCCTATTTAGATGGAGGCATGTTGGAGTCAGGGCAAGGGAGAGCTGTCTTTACCGACTGTACACTCCACCTCCCTCTGTCTCTCTACAGATAGGTAATAAACAATTGGCTGGAAGTTTTCATAGAGAAATTCAAATTAGTAATGTAACCTTTGGCATCCCCCAGGGGTCAGTGTTGGGCCCTAAACTCTTTCTGCTGTAGCTTTCATCAACGACGATTAAATGTTGTTTACACACATTATTAATCATAAGGAAAACAAAACCAAGACTTACCGGTCATTAGGGATACAGTTGGATGGGATAAAAAACTCAAGAGGCGATAATAGATGATACAGTCCGCAGGAAATCTCACATTAAGCATGTGCAAGTTAAAGATGCATGGCAGTGAGAAGGCAAACTAGGTTACAGATCTCAGTACTGTTCATTAGTTTACCCATATTTAGTTTAGCGTTTGTTCATAACTCATGGAGAGGTCATGACAGAGAGGATTTTCAAATGGCAAAAAAGGAACAACTACCAGGAATAACTCAGAAGCTTTCACTGGAAGGGAAGGAGGGGAAGGAGGGGTGTACACACAACTGAAGTTATTTTAGTTTGCGGGGTTACACTTTAGGTTTTGAGGGGATGTGAGGAAGGTCCAAAGATTAGTTTAAGATGAAGTATATTCACAGGAATTGTGTGATTGTGGGAAAGTACACATTTACTTTTGTAGTTTTGATCACTGCGTCGCCTACAGGTTGTGCAGAACAGCGCAGCCAGGTTCATGACTGGGACCAGGAAACGGGACCACATCAGTCCGGTTCTGGCCTCCCTGCACTGGCTTCCGGTTTGCTATCGCTCACAATTCAAAATCCTTGTCTATGTTTATAATTTCATCCAGGGTGGTGCTCCCCCCTATCTGGCCACACTCCTGAACAAACATTCCCCATCACGCGCTCTGCGCTCCTCTGACCAAGGCCTGCTCGCTGTCCCTCGGTCTAGGTGTCGTACTCGCGGGGACCGGGCTTTCTCAGTCCTTGCACCGTCACTCTGGAACCAGTTGCCACCCTCAGGCTGTCCCCATCTATGCCAGTCTTTAAGAGTCGCCTAAAAACCCACCTCTTCCGCTTGGCGTTCCCTGAACTTGTTTGAATTTGGCCCTCTCTTTCCCTCGTTTTACCTATTTTGTTTTCTAGAATGTTTTACCTTTTGTAATTTGAAATGCTTTTGATTTATTCACTATTTAACCTTCTCGTGTACCATGTTCAGCACCTCGGGCTTCCTGATAGGGTTGTGAAAGGCGCTTTATAAAGCTTTGATTTTAAGCCAAGTGAGGGCTGGGTTCTCAAGTGTTTCTCACCTTCTGGATGTGAATGGTTCTCTTTATACCAATAAGGTGTGCCTCAAGGTTTACTACTTTAGGAAAACACTTTCCAGTGGAAGTCTAATTGGACTAAACAGCCCCCTTTTCAGATGAGCAGCCTGGTTGTTTCAAAGGTAATTTTAAGTTTTTTGTCATCGGTCCTCTTAAGGGATTTATACTGGCTAAAGATAATGCTCACTGGCCTTGCTAACAGTGATAACACTCAAAGTCCAGCTGAAAATGTTTATTCAGATGATCAGAACAGAAAAGTTAACGAGACTCTAGAACCCACTCCACACCTTCAGACGGCTAAATTAAACATTGAAATCAGGTGAAGCAGAAGCTCATTTGTTTCTCCTAGACCTTCTTAGCTCTTGCCCCCCAGGGTGTGCTTATCAAACAGGTACTCTGCCATCTTGTTGGTGTTGGCATCCATCTTGGTCAGGTTGGTGATGTGATCGCCGAGCTTCTTGATGGCTTCCACCTGTTCGCTCAGGTAGTGGCTCTCCAGGAAGTCACACAGCTAAATGATACAAGTCGCTTTAGAAAACCAACATTAAACTTAAAAACTTTCAAGTTATCAAGTCAAAAGCGTACATGAGGGTCAACGTGACCAGAAGCCAGCTTATGCAGATCCAGCAGAGCCTGGTTGACGGTCTTCTCCAGCTGCAGAGCACACTGCATGGCCTCCAGGCCGCTCCCCCACTCGTCACGCTCTGGTTTCTGCAAGGAAAACAAGCCCAGATTACATCCAACCGCCTCCAGACCGCAGGGTTCACCTTCAGGCTCACCTTCACGTCCTGCAGGAAGATGCGTCCTCCCCTCTTGTTCTGGAAGGCCAGCAGCTTCTCAGCATGCTCCCGCTCCTCGTCGCTGTTCTCCTTGAAGAAATGAGAAAACCCTGGAAGGGCCACGTCATCACGGGAGAAGTAGTAGGCCTGTAGGCGGGGGGGCAGAGAAAAGCTCTCATTAGGACACCTCGCCCATAATTATCAGGATTTAGACCGATACTCGTGCAGCCGTTAGGTCAGACACGTGAATCAGAACTGTAAAACCGTGACTCAGCACTTATTACTATGGTGGGTGGGTGGGGCACTAGCCACGCCTCCGGCAGCTGCTGGTAAACAAAGCTCAGCGACGACGTTTCTCAGTATTAAACCATTAAAACACGTTTAAACTCCCTCACACGCGTGCTTTCTCCTTAATACGTCACGAGTTCACACTACAGAGGACAAAGGTGTTGCCTTACCATGGAGGTGTAGGTGTAGGAGGCGAACAGCTCCATGTTCACCATCCTGTTGATGGCGGCCTCACAGTCGCGGTGGTAGTTCTGACGCACCTGAGACTCCATTTTAGCTGGCGGTTCCTTGTGCTCGTCGTTAAAAAACGGTAGAAAAATGTAGCTTATCGTTGAGCTGGCCGGTAGATTCAAGTATTAATCAAGTTTGGGCCGAAGGTAGAAGCTCCGTTCAAACACTGTTGAAGCAAGAACTCCCAAAGCTTGGTTCCCCGATCTGAGATGGAGGTGGCGGGCTTTCTGCTTTTATACACCACGGCAGGTCTCGTGATGCAGTGACGTCACGCGAAGCTCATATCAGCCAATCAGCGAGCGAGAATCAGACCAGCACGTTGCGGCCGTAGAGAAGTCAGAAAGCCGTTTATTTCCACGGAAATGAGACTTTTCCCGTCTTTAGTTTGACCTGAGCTGCTGAAAGTCAGGGTGACGAGGCGTTTTTTATCGAAGCGACAAACGGAACTACATTTCACGAGTGTGATCATAATATTTAAAGGGTTTTCTCAGAATTCACTTATATAAAACGTGTGTTTTGGATTTTTTTTTTTACTTTACTTTTCCCGGTGTCATTTTGAGGTGACACGAACTCCGAACAAAACTGATCTGGTCTTAATATCTGTAATATATTTACATTTCTTTGATTTATTAATTTAGTTTAATCAGGAAGAAAATCTCATTGAGATTAAAAAAAGTGGAGATCTGGTCAAACACGTCTGTAAACACAAACTCAGTTCAGATCTATTCCACGTTGCAGTCCAGATGTGGAGCTGGCCTCAAGAGTTCCTCATTTAGGTCCTTGGTGTTTTCTACGGATGAACTTGTGTTTGCCTGTAAACTGAACATTTCTAGGGAGTCACGTGACTTTAAACCTGCTGACATGGTGACTGGGATGAGTTTTATTTCATGGCACAATACCAGAGCGGTATGTCATGACTAAGAATGAAACGCACAGGACTGTCGCTCCTGAAATGTTGGGCTGAAACGATCTGGTGCAGGATAAGGATCAAAAGGAAGGATTTGTCCTTCCTGTGTCTCATAGGGAACTGTTCTTCAAGCATCAGCTGAGATAACCCATCACACTCAGCTGTAATTATCCAGTGACGCTGCTGCTAACCAGGGCGTTGTCTCTGCTTGTTGCTGCACACAACAGTCTAGTTCACCTGGACGTAAACAGCCATGTCAGGAACAGGTAAACACTCTGAGCCTCCTGCTCCGGCTGCTGGGTCATGTGTGGGAGGACATGACGCCTTAAGATGCTTCTGGGCTCTGACAGAAAACCACCCAATAATGTTAAACCTTCTAGATCACATGACCTCCTTTGGGCCCCCCGGGCCTAAACAACACTGCTCTGCTGATGTGTGAATGCAAAACAAAAACTTTCTTCTAGTTCAGGTTTAAAAGCTCTAAACAACACAACTTTTCTTAGATTACCTGCTAGTTCACCTGAGAACCTGCACACAGCTGAGCCTCTCTGATGTCATCGGTTTTCTGCCAGCGTGGTAAACTGCTCAGGTGGAGGCTGTTTCACAATACAACGGTATCACATTGTGCTATTTTAAAACGTCATCAGTCGACGGTGTTGTTTCCTTGTAGACTCAGGGCCGCAGAGAACGTTCATGTTTTTAAGTCAAGACTCAAGACCCATCTTTTTAGGTTAGCTTTTATCTAAATATTTTCTACAGTTTTATTTCTCGTTTTACATGATTATATTTTATTACTTGCTTTGCATGTTCTATACGATTATATTTTAGCACAGTTTTGTTATTTAAATTATTATTTTACTGTTAATATCATTTTATTTATTACTTATTTTCAAATTTTTGTCATTTATATTAGCTCTTTTATTATATTTTTACTCATTTTAATCCAGTGTTTCCTCTGTGGGGGCCCTCTGCCCCGGGAGCAGTGGTCGACTGTTGCTTCCTGGGCGCTGTATGGGTGGGGGTCTATGCTCCCCCTCCACTGAGCGCCCTGACTTAGTGTGGAAGACCTGATGCTGCCGGGGCAGACGGCTCCTCTGATGGCGTTTCCTTGCGTTACCATACTTGGCTCTTCTGGACTCAGCCTAATATAATTTTTACTTGTGTGCGTGTGATTGCATATGTTTGTTAATGTTTTTAACCTGTTATGGGAATCTGGGGTCATTTTATAAAGCACTTTGAATCACACTTTGTTTGAAAAGCGCTTTAGAAATAAAATTTGAGTGATTGATTGATTGATTGATTGATAGACTGAACAGGTCTGCATCCTCCCCCTCCCTCCTGCAGCTCCGGAGGCAGCAGGCTAAGAAGGGAGGCCCAGACTTTATCACACGTAAAGGTGGTTCACGTTGTAAAAGGATTTCTGCACAAGAGGTGAAATCAAAGGAACTTTTACATCATTGTTGGTTTCTGATGAAACATTAATGTAAATAAAACATAAATGCATTATTGGGATTGGTCGAGGAGCTTCCTCTTGATTCATCTACTGTAAATCATTTAGTTATAACTGCAGACAGTCACAGGTGACTCCAGCGTAATAAACCTGAGCCAGAAAAGCTGAATAAGAGTCAAGGTTAAAGGTTCACACAATGACTCAGCACATTTAAAAGCACACATGGATATTTGATGAGTCACATGACACTGCTGGTGGTGCAGACTGAGCTGTGTAGCTGCTGTGACTCAGCACTCCTGAGCCGCTTCCTGTTCCTTGGGCTGGTGAGACGTGTGACCATGTTTACCTCAGCTGTCAGCTGGCTGGAACCGGTTTGGAACAGGGAACTAAAGCTGTTCACAGACATACAGGTGCTGGCCAGTAAATTAGAATATCATCAAAAGGTTGAAGATATTTCAGTAATTCCATTCAAAACGTGAAACTTGTACATTATATTCATGCAATGCACACAGACCAATGTATTTCCAATGTTCATTACATTTAAATTTGATATTCATAAGTGACAACTAATGAAAACTCCAAATTTGGTATCTCAAAAAATTAGAATATTCTGAAAAGGCTGAATATAGAAGACACCTGCTGCCACTCTAATCAGCTGATTTACTCAAAACACCTGCAAAGGCCTTTAAAAGGTCCCTCAGTCTTGTTTTGAAGGCACCACAATCATGGGGAAGACTTCTGACTTAACAGCTGTCCAAAAGACAATCATTGACACCTTGCACAAGGAGGGCAAGACACAAAAGGTGATTGCTAAAGAAGCTGGCTGTTCGCAGAGCTCTGTGTCCAAGCACATTAACAGACAGGCGAAGGGACGGAAAAAATGTGGTAGAAAAAAGTGTACAAGCTCTAGGGATAACCGCACCCTGCAGAGAATTGTGACGACAAACCCATTCAAAAATGTGGGGGAGATCCACAAAGAGTGGACTGCAGCTGGAGTCAGCGCTTCAAGAACCACCACGAGGAGACTCATGAAAGACATGGGATTCAGGTGTCGCATTCCGTGTGTCAAGCCACTCTTGAACAAGAAACAGCGCAAGAAGCGTCTCGCCTGGGCCAAGGACAAAAAGGACTGGACTGATGCTGAGTGGTCCAAAGTTATGTTTTCTGATGAAAGCAAGTTCTGCATTTCCTTTGGAAATCAAGGACCCAGAGTCTGGAGGAAGAGCGGAGAAGCACAGAATCCACGTTGCATGAGGTCCAGTGTAAAGTTTCCACCGTCAGTGATGGTGTGGGGTGCCATGTCATCTGCCGGTGTTGGCCCACTCTGTTTCCTGAGGTCCAGGGTCAATGCAGCCGTCTACCAGGAAGTTTTAGAGCACTTCATGCTTCCTGCTGCTGACCAACTTTATGGGGATGCAGACTTCACCTTTCAACAGGACTTGGCACCTGCACACAGTGCCAAAACCACCAGCACCTGGTTCAAGGACCATGGTATCCCTGTCCTTGATTGGCCAGCAAACTCGCCTGACCTTAACCCCATAGAAAATCTATGGGGTATTGTGAAGCGGAGGATGCAATACGCTAGACCCAACAATGCAGAGGAGCTGAAGACGACTATCAGAGCAACCTGGGCTCTCATAACACCTGAGCAGTGCCACAGACTGATCGAGTCCATGCCACGCCGCATTACTGCAGTTATTGAGGCAAAAGGAGCCCCGACTAAGTATTGAGTGCTATACATGCACATTCTTTTCATGTTCATTCTTTTCAGTTGGCCAACATTAGAGAAACAAACATTTTTTCATTGGCCTTTAGAATATTCTAATTTTCTGAGATACCAGATTTGATGTTTTCATTGGTTGTCACCTATAAATATCAAAATTAAACGTAATAAACATCGGAAATACATTGGTCTGTGTGCATTGCATGAATATAATGTACAAGTTTCACGTTTTGAATGGAATTACTGAAATATTTTCAACCTTTTGATGATATTCTAATTTACTGGCCAGCACCTGTACATGATGGTAAAATAAGCTTGTTTGTTAATAAACAAGTCGCTGCTTCAAAAAACCAAATGCTAATGGAGGGCAGACATTAGATGTCTTTGTCTTTATTTTGAACATGCATATATATATATACACATAGTAATGCACACAACATAAGTAACTTGTCGTTTATTTTTTTTACACATGTTCAAAAGGGAGTAGGAAGAAGCATCAGCTTATTTAATCCCACCCCTTTCTCAACATTAAATAACTTAGTTATTTAATGTTGTCCGGTAGTGTTTGGCAAATGACTTTACAACATATTCACACAAATGGCACATGGTGTCACAGCTGGCAGCCTGAAGAGGGAAAAAGCAGCCAGGATCACCCAGCTCTGGTGATTGACCGGACATCGCCCCTCCTCCTCCTCTCTTCCAGGCTGCTGAGGAGCACAGCTGAGCTGAATCCTCCTGATGAGCCACACCTGGATAAAAAGGCTGTGCCTTCAGCAGGCTGGGAGGCAGCAGTGCAGGGGTTCTGCTGTCCTCCAGGCCTCATTTTGTTTTCAACCCCTTTGAGTTGAAGAGTTTTAACTTTGGTAGTTTTAACTCCGAGTGATCCACATGGATCTTTTGTGCATGTCACCTAGTGTTGACTGTGTTCGTTGGTTTTTAAGGTTAACTTTGTTAGTTGCAATTTTATAGACTTCGTTTTTAAAACACCTTCTGTTCCGGTAAAACTTTAAACATAAGTTTTAACCAGGTGTTTTATGTCAATGAATTGTTTTAGAAATTTTATCAACTTTGTGGATTTAGAAACACCTTCTATTTTGGTGAAACTTTTAATAAGTTTTAACCAGGTGTTTTTAATGTTGGTAACTGCTCTTTTGATGTTAACCTTTTTGAGAGTATTTCTGTTTAGCATTATCTTAATAATGCTCGCCATCTGTTTGCTTGTGTTTTTAATACCTTTTGTACAAATAAACCCATTTTAAACTCCTCCGCCAGTTTTTATGTTAACCCCATCCTTCACATTTTACCATCTCATGTCGGACGTAACATTATCACGATCATGTCATTAATAAACATTTTGTGTTTAGGCACACACTTTTCCTTGTATTTGGTAAGCATCATGAGTTTAAGCCTTTTTTTGAACAGCATCATGTTTGGACTTTGCCTCAATTCATCACTCACTCTGATCCAGTTTCACACACACACACACACACCTTCGACCAGGACATGTCATTGAAACAGGTTTGTAGGATTTCATTTTTCCACCTTCGGAATATTGCTACGAGTAGAGGCATCCTTTCCAGGAGTGATGCTGAAAAACTAGTTCATGCATTTATTACATCAAGACTGGATTACTGTAATTCATTACTCTCAGGAAGTCCACAGAATGTAGTTAAAAGTCTTCAGCTTGTCCAAAATGCTGCAGCTAGAGTTCTGATGAGAGCTGTGCAAGGAAAACAAGCCCAACCCTATTAGATTTTGAACAACCCTCGCGGTCTCTGTGCTCCTCTGGCAGCCGTCTCCTAGTTATCCCTAAAGTTAAGACACACACCCACGGCGAGGTGTCCTTCAAGTACTACGGACCTCGCCTTTGGAAAGGTCTGCCGGAGGACTTCAGGGCCGAAGGGAACGTCCAGGCTTTTAAGAATAGGCTCAAGACCCACCGTTTTAGCTTAGCTTGTAATTACTATTAATCTAGTCTGTTTAACTGAATCTGATATATATATATATATATACATATATATACATCTTTTAATAAATTTTATGATTTTGTTTACATCTTAGTGTCTTTACATGATTATGTTTCTATCTTTATAATCACTTTTTATCAGTTACTTTCTATCCATATTAGCTTTTGTTATTTTAGTTATATATTTTAATCCTCCAGTGTTTCCTCTGCAGAGCCCTCTGCCTTGGGGCCGGGGCGCTCCTCGGGTAGTGTCCGGGCAGTGGTGGGGGTCTCCGCCCTGCCTCCCTGGGCGTCATGGGCCGATATCTTGGCTGCTGCCGTGGATCTGTTGCTGTCACGGCAGATGGCTCTGCTGATGATGTGTCGTCCATTACCTGACCCATCTGAACTCAGCCTATTGTTTACTCTGTTGTTCACGTATGTGTGTGTGCGAGTGTCTGGGTGATTGTATGTCCACCTTGGAAATTGGGTGCGGGAGGGGAACTGTAATTGTCAATTGTTTTATACTTGGGGAGGGGGGCTGGGATGGAAGTAAGGGATCTATGGGGCCATTTTAATCTGTGAAGCACTTTGAGTTGCATTTTGTTGTATGAAAAGTGCTATATAAATAAAGTTGATTTGATATCATATCTCTCCTGTCTTAGCTTCCCTACATTGGCTACCTGTTAAATTCAGAATAGATTTTAAGATCCTTCTTCTCACATATAAAGCTCTTAATAATCAAGCTCCATCATACATCAGTGATCTGATTGTTCCATACGTTCCTAACCGAGCACTTCGCTCTCAGACTGCAGGTCTACTGGTGGTTCCCAGAATATCTAAAATTAGGATGGGAGGCAGATCTTTTAGTTTTCAGGCTCCTCTCCTGTGGAACCAACTCCCAGCTTTAGTCCGTGAGGCAGACACTTTGTCTACTTTTAAGAATAGACTTAAAACATTTTTATTTGATAGGGTCTATGGTTAAAATCTGATGTTAGCCTAAATCTGGACAAGTGGGGGAGTAGAGGGAGGTGGAGTGTACAGTCGGTAAAGACGGCTCTCCCTTGCCCTGACTCCAACATGCCTACATCTAAATAGGATAGATTATCCAGAGTTATCTCTGTAGTTATGCTGCTATAGGCTTAGACTGCTGGAGGATACACTGACCACTTTCCACACTCTACTGCTTTCTTCTACAATCTGCTCTTTTAACTGTATTATTTCCTGCCATTTCAGCTGTTAACTTTATTTTCTCTTTAAGTGTTTTTCTCCCCAGAAGAAGGTACAAAGATGTTCTGCTGAGCTGTGGTGGCCTCATGGAGGGGGCCATCGGTTAGCACACTGTTGGTAAACAATCTCCCTCTCCTGATAATAACCCATCCCCCCACCCCCCGCCGACTGTAAATGTGCATCACTGCAGACGCTGAACCCGCCCGTCGATCTCCCGATCCCTCCTACCCTCACTCGTGAACAAGGCCCCGAGACACTTAAACTCCTCCACTTGAGGTAGGACCTCTCCCCCGACCCAGAGATGGCAAGCCACCCTTTACCGGTCGAGAACCATTGTCTCAGATTTGGAGGTGCTGATCCTCATCCCAGTTGCTTCACACTCGGCCGTGAACCTACCCAGCAAGAGCTGAAGATCAGTTGGGGGGGGGGGGGGGGGGGGAAGAAACACTACATTCATGGTGCACAGACAGAATCTGTACTGGACACAAAGATTTTCACTGATCTTTATTCAGAAACGTTCACGGGGAAAACTGTACCGACGTTAGAAGTGACCGTAACAATACAGACAGGTTTAGACGGAGCCGACAACCGTTTGTTTTTACTCCGGCTCACAGGTTTGTTCTGGAGTCTGATTAGTTTGGGTCAGTCTGTTGAAGCAGCAGACCCTTTGCTGAGAGTCTGACCTAACCTAGGTCTTAACATCTTATGAGGGTGAGAACTGATTAAGTTAGGACTGGTTAGGTCAGGTTAGGACTGATTAGGTCAAGTTAGGACTGGTTAGGTTAGGTCAGGTTAGAACTGATTAGGTCAAGTTAGGACTGGTTAGGTTAGGTCAGGTTAGAACTAATTAGGTTAGGTTAGGACTGATTAGATCAGGTTAGGACTGGTTAGGTTAGGTCAGGTTAGAACTAATTAGGTTAGGTTAGGACTGATTAGGTTAGGACTGATTAGGTCAGGTTAGGACTGGTTAGGTCAGGTTAAGACTAATTAGGTCAGGTTAGGACTGATTAGGTCAGGTTAGGACTAATTAGGTTAGGACTGATTAGGTCAGGTTAAGACTGATTAGGTCAGGTTAAGACTAATTAGGTTAGGTTAGGACTGGTTAGGTCAGGTGAGGACTGATTAGGTCAGGTTAGGACTGGTTGGGTTAGGTTAATACTGATTAGGTCAGGTTAAGACTAATTAGGTCAGGTTAGGACTGATTAGGTCAGGTTAGGACTGATTAGGTCAGGTTAAGACTAATTAGGTTAGGTTAGGACTGATTAGGTCAGGTTAGGACTGGTTAGGTCAGGTTAGGATTGGTTAGGTCAGGTTAGGACTGGTTAAGTCAGGTTAGGACTGGTTAAGTCAGGTTAGGACTAATTAGGTCAGGTAGGACTGGTTAGGTCAGGTTAGGACTGGTTAGGTCAGGTTAGGACTAATTAGGTTAGGTTAGGACTAATTAGGTCAGGTTAGGACTGGTTAGGTCAGGTTAGGACTGGTTAGGTCAGGTTAGGACTGATTAGGTGAAGTTAGGACTGGTTAGGTCAGGTTAGGACTGGTTAGGTCAGGTTAGGACTGGTTAAGTCAGGTTAGGACTGGTTAAGTCAGGTTAGGACTAATTAGGTCAGGTAGGACTGGTTAAGTCAGGTTAGGACTGGTTAAGTCAGGTTAGGACTAATTAGGTCAGGTAGGACTGGTTAGGTCAGGACTGGTTAGGTCAGGTTAGGACTAATTAGGTTAGGTTAGGACTAATTAGGTCAGGTTAGGACTGGTTAAGTCAGGTTAGGACTGGTTAAGTCAGGTTAGGACTAATTAGGTCAGGTAGGACTGGTTAGGTCAGGTTAGGACTGGTTAGGTCAGGTTAGGACTAATTAGGTTAGGTTAGGACTAATTAGGTCAGGTTAGGACTGGTTAGGTCAGGTTAGGACTGATTAGGTGAAGTTAGGACTGGTTAGGTCAGGTTAGGACTGATTAGGTCAAGTTAGGACTGGTTAGGTCAGGTTAGGACTGATTAGGTCAAGTTAGGACTGATTAGGTCAAGTTAGGACTGGTTAGGTTAGGTCAGGTTAGAACTAATTAGGTTAGGTTAGGACTGATTAGATCAGGTTAGGTCAGGTTAGAACTAATTAGGTTAGGTTAGGACTGATTAGATCAGGTTAGGACTGGTTAGGTTAGGTCAGGTTAGAACTAATTAGGTTAGGTTAGGACTGATTAGGTTAGGACTGATTAGGTCAGGTTAAGACTGGTTAGGTCAGGTGAGGACTGATTAGGTCAGGTTAGGACTGGTTGGGTTAGGTTAATACTGATTAGGTCAGGTTAAGACTAATTAGGTCAGGTTAGGACTGATTAGGTCAGGTTAGGACTAATTGGTTAGGACTGATTAGGTCAGGTTAAGACTGATTAGGTCAGGTTAAGACTAATTAGGTTAGGTTAGGACTGATTAGGTCAGGTTAGGACTGGTTAGGTCAGGTTAGGACTGATTAGGTCAGGTTAGGATTGGTTAGGTCAGGTTAGGACTGGTTAAGTCAGGTTAGGACTGGTTAAGTCAGGTTAGGACTAATTAGGTCAGGTAGGACTGGTTAGGTCAGGTTAGGACTGGTTAGGTCAGGTTAGGACTAATTAGGTTAGGTTAGGACTAATTAGGTCAGGTTAGGACTGGTTAGGTCAGGTTAGGACTAATTAGGTTAGGTTAGGACTAATTAGGTTAGGTTAGGACTGATTAGGTCAGGTTAGGACTGATTGGTCAGGTTAGGACTGGTTAGGTCAGGTTAGGTCTGGTTAGGTCAGGTTAGGACTAATTAGGTCAGGTTAGGACTGGTTTTAGGACTGGTTAGGTCAGGTTAGGACTGGTTAGGTCAGGTTAGGACTAATTAGGTTAGGTTAGGACTGATTAGGTCAGGTTAGGACTGGTTAGGTCAGGTTAGGACTGGTTAGGTCAGGTTAGGTCAGGTTAGGACTGATGAGGTCAGGTTAGGACTGGTTAGGTCAGGTTAGGACTAATTAGGTTAGGTTAGGACTGGTTAGGTCAGGTTAGGACTGGTTAGGTCAGGTTAGGACTGATTAGGTCAGGTTAGGACTGGTTAGGTCAGGTTAGGTCAGGTTAGGACTGATTAGGTCAGGTTAGGACTGGTTAGGTCAGGTTAGGACTGATTAGGTCAGGTTAGGTCAGGTTAGGACTGATTAGGTCAGGTTAGGACTGATTAGGTTAGGTTAGGACTGGTTAGGTCAGGTTAGGACTGGTTAGGTCAGGTTAGGACTGATTAGGTCAGGTTAGGACTGGTTAGGTCAGGTTAGGTCTGATTAGGTCAGGTTAGGTCAGGTTAGGACTGGTTAGGTCAGGTTAGGACTAATTAGGTTAGGTTAGGACTGGTTAGGTCAGGTTAGGACTGGTTAGGTCAGGTTAGGACTGATTAGGTCAGGTTAGGACTGGTTAGGTCAGGTTAGGACTGATTAGGTCAGGTTAGGACTGGTTAGGTCAGGTTAGGACTGATTAGGTCAGGTTAGGACTGGTTAGGTCAGGTTAGGACTGATTAGGTCAGGTTAGGTCAGGTTAGGTCAGGTTAGGACTGATTAGGTCAGGTTAGGACTGGTTAGGTCAGGTTAGGACTAATTAGGTTAGGACTGGTTAGGTCAGGTTAGGACTGGTTAGGTCAGGTTAGGACTGATTAGGTCAGGTTAGGACTGGTTAGGTCAGGTTAGGTCAGGTTAGGACTGATTAGGTCAGGTTAGGACTGGTTAGGTCAGGTTAGGACTGAAAAACGACCCTCCAGTCAGAGGAAGCACCGACTCCAGTTTCAACAAAGTAAACAGAAGCAACATGAGCCAACGTAGAAGTAGAAACCCGCAGAAACACCCGGCAGGATTCTGGCTAAACAAGCAGAATGACGCTGGAGTTAAGGCAGAAAGGATTCCTTCGTGTTTTCCAGATTTCTGTGAAACTGGAGAAATGAGAAGGGAAGTGGCTTCAGCGTCTGAGCTGGTAAAAACCAACCCCACTGCTGGGGTTAGGTTTCCCTTCTCCTGCTGCGCTTGTGTCACACTCGTGGTTCTGTGTTGGAGATGCACCTGGCACCGAGAAGAAAAAGACCCTGGTCCTCATACGTCGGTCACCAGCTCCACCTACCAGTGCCGTGACCATTAAAGTCCCAAATAATAACATTAGATCCAATAGCTTTTTTCATTATATTAACCTTCATTTGGACAGCTGGAAGCACGTCGTTCATCGTAAATTCAGTTGAAATGATTGGTTGCATTTTTGGTCAAAGACATTTAACGTTTGACCGTTTGTCGTTTCACGCACTGGGAATCCACACACTTTTCCACTGGACAGCATTTCTCCAGAGGTCTTGCAGCAGAGACGGCTGAGACCGAGTCCAGTCCGGTCCTCCATCGTTGCCCTCCTGGTCCTGATGGAAGAGCCGCAGGGACTTCACTGGGCTGGCACAGGTGTGCTGGAGGTACTGACGGCCCTACAGACACAGATCAGACAAAAGATAAATGACTGTGGTCCTCTTTGGTTGTCTTTAAGGACGCCGTTGGGTGTCGGGTTGTTTTAATCTGATTGATCCGGGGCCTTCCTGCTAGAAGGCGTAGGCTCCAATCCAGATGTATCTTATTTCCTTTACACACGAGTGAGAGGCAGAGCTGCAGATGCAATACGACTCTCCTGTCAGCACCACCTGAACTCCTCTACACTGGCACTGGGGGAGAAATGTTGCAGAAGCTGGCTCGGAGACGTGAAGGTGTGTTTGGCTCTTTGTCCTCGTGTGCACCAACACTAAAAGATGGAGATGGGAATGTTTTACTGCACCTACACCCACAGCAGACAAACGCTTTAGCGTCCACTCGTGTATGTGCAACACATGGACGCAGCAGATGTGCACCACGTGTCTCTGGTGAGAGCGACCTTTAACCCGGCATGTCCGCTGTCCCACCAACAGGACGGTCTCTGTAGTCGTGTTTTCCAGCCACGAAGCTAGCAAACATCTCCAGTCCGTTATTCTATATAAATCTGAAAATGTTGATAGAATACGACACACTGGGAGTCCAGTCGCCCTCACCTGGGCGCTGCCCCAGTACCAGATGGCCTTGATGACGCTGTGGTTGGCTAGAGCTACCGTCAGCTGGTCTGGACTTCCTGTAATGATGTTCACCACACCTGCGGGTAGGTCTGATGACTGGAGCACCTGAGGAGGAGAAGAAACCAGGCTTTGAGAATAAAATTGGCTTTCTTTTACGTTTCACTTGTTTTTCAATCCAAATAATTTCAGGAAACAACATGAAGACCAACACACAGCAGTCAGTCGAACTACTGCAGCTTCTGTTTGTCCAGCTCTATACCGGTCCCTTCCAGAGCTGGCCATCTCAGGGCTCAGCTAGCGCCATTGCTGGCCACGCCTACACATGCCCTGATTGGCTGCCACGAGTAGAGCCACTGCTCCTCCGCATCCAGACCGGCAGCCTCCCTAAGCATAGACAGGTGAGGGGGGTTTCTACGCTAAGATTCCTTATTGTGACATCACAATACGGTACACAACTCCTGAAGCCAAAATCTGACAGAAAACGGGTGGACAGGCTTCTATTCACCTTTGGAGTGTTTACAGAGGAAATGGCCCTAACCCGAACCCACGTGGTGTGTAACCCGAGATCATTAACCGCTGAGTGACAGAAACTCAGAACAACTCTGCACGTTTCTGTGAGAATGAAAATGTTTTGCTGACACTGAAACCTGAAGGCAGGCCAGTTCCTCCTCACTTATTTTGTAAATCCTGGAAGTTTGAAACCCTGAAGTCCAACAAGTCCCGACTCCATTTAAATGTAAATATCTTTTCCAAAATGCGATCTAAGCTCATCTAAAGGCAGATGGTGTGCACAACGGTGTTTTCTAAAGTGCAGTAGCGTGATTTGGCCTCGGTGTGTTTGCAGAGCTGATCACCAGGAGAGCGTGGCTTCACAACTGGCTTTTTTATCTCGCTGCTCTTTATGCTTCAGGATTCAGGATGATGCCTCTGATTGTCTCCTTACTGATTCTAGATTTAGCCACAAATCCTTTTATACCCAATAAAGCCTAAAGACAGCCAATACAGATGAATAACAGAGGTCCCAAAGGGGATCCCTGGTGAACGCCACTAGTTAAAGTAGCTGCTGAAGAACATTCCCCTCACTCAGCCAGTAAAGGTCACACGTAGCTCTGATACCAACATCTTGTTCTGGCTGTGACAACAAATACACCTGAGAGACTTTTTGTGAGGTTAAACAACACGACCCGCTCTCCTACGGGACTGGGTTTGAACGCATTCACACTTACTTGGATGAAAGCCAAAGCTGGCAGTGGATGCTTCTGACTGGGGACCATGATGACGGCGTTACCAGTGGCAATGGCTGCCCCAAGAAGCGTTACCATGGAGAGCAGGGGACGCTTGTCAGGAAGGATGATCCCAACAACTCCCAGAGCTTCAGGGATGGCGAGAGCGGTGCCGGACTGTGGCATGGGCTGAAACGTGGGGGGAGGGGGGGATTTTTGGACGTTAGTCACATTCCTAAGAGTACTCTTTTTATACTAGAGTCCTTTAAAGGCCTCACCAGAGATCCTCCCTGCATTTTGTCACAGTAAGCTGCCCAAACACTGAGCCTGGTGATGCTCAGATCCACTTCCTGTCCAGCCTCGTCCACTGAGACACCAGTCTGAGAGACGAGCGACGCGGCCAACTCCAGCCTCTTGGCTTCGAGGCCTTTAGCCAGAGAGTAGAGCGACTGAGCACGTGCAGAAGGACTCTTCTTCTTCCAGCTAAAGGACAGATGCACAGGAGGAAGCGTTGGATTAAAGGGTTCATTTAGGAGTTGAGGACAGCTTCCTAAACCGACTGCTCAGAAAAAGGTCATCAAAAGTCAGGGGGGGCGAGTTTCCCGTGTCAGCCATGATTGAGATGGTTGATTTGCAGCGGTTACGCAGAAACCTGGGACGTTTCTGTCGAGGCTCTCTGGATCAAAGCCAGACTGACACTAGTGTGTTTGTTAGACCTCAGCACTCTGGTGATGATTAGCCATGGACTTTACTCCCACGCTGTTCATGACTCATCCAAACCTCTTATCAGGATCACACTGACAGCTGATAATAGGCATTTAACGTGTTCATTTGGTCAATCTGTAACTTGATTTTGTTTTGAGCCGAGTCGGCCTCCAGCGCTCCGGCCAGTTAGAACCATCAACCGTTAGCTAGTTTTAGGTTTGGCTCCATTAGAAAGTGGACATGGCTGCTGTTTGTACAGAGCTGCCCCCACTCTTTTTCTGATTGCTGATTTTTGAGCTGGCTAGTCCCGCCCCTCACGTGCCGCTCTGTCTGAGTTACCAGACTCTCTCTCTCGGTGCAGGATCAACCAGAGGACGAGTCTGGAGGGCCAGGTTAGCATTTGGCTGCTTCTCCTTCTGTCGACCAATGTTAAGGTGGCGTTTGTGTAAAACTGTTCTGTTTGTTAAGAGAGACGAACCGGCAGACTGAACTCTAAACTACGGAAGCCCAGGAGTGCAAATAATCCAGATTTTCTTAAACAAAATCTTTAAAAATGAATAATTATAAATAATTGATCAAATAGATTTTTTCACCCAGCGATTTCAGTCCAGGACCAGCTTTAGTCATTTCCACCTTAAATCTTCCAATCGAAGATCCAGACTACTGGTCATGTGACCTGTAACTGTACTGTGGAGTACTCTGTGACAGTGAGTACTAGACGTATGTACAGTGGAGTACTCTGTGACAGTGAGTACTAGACGTATGTACAGTGGAGTACTCTGTGATAGTGAGTACTAGACGTATGTACAGTGGAGTACTCTGTGATAGTGAGTACTAGACGTATGTACAGTGGAGTACTCTGTGATAGTGAGTACTCTGTGATAGTGAGTACTAGACGTATGTACAGTGGAGTACTCTGTGATAGTGAGTACTAGGCGTATGTAGGCGGAGTACTCTGTGACAGTGAGTACTAGGCGTATGTAGGCGGAGTACTCTGTGATAGTGAGTACTAGACGTATGTACAGTGGAGTACTCTGTGATAGTGAGTACTAGGTGTATGTAGGCGGAGTACTCTGTGATAGTGAGTACTAGGCGTATGTAGGCGGAGTACTCTGTGATAGTGAGTACTAGACGTATGTACAGTGGAGTACTCTGTGATAGTGAGTACTAGACGTATGTAGGCGGAGTACTCTGTGATAGTGAGTACTAGGCGTATGTACAGTGGAGTACTCTGTGATAGTGAGTACTAGACGTATGTAGGCGGAGTACTCTGTGATAGTGAGTACTAGACGTATGTAGGCGGAGTACTCTGTGATAGTGAGTACTAGACGTATGTACAGTGGAGTACTCTGTGATAGTGAGTACTAGATGTATGTAGGCGGAGTACTCTGTGATAGTGAGTACTAGACGTATGTACAGTGGAGTACTCAGTGATAGTGAGTACTAGACGTATGTAGGCGGAGTACTCTGTGATAGTGAGTACTAGGCGTATGTAGGCGGAGTACTCTGTGATAGTGAGTACTAGGCGTATGTAGGCGGAGTACTCTGTGATAGTGAGTACTAGACGTATGTACAGTGGAGTACTCTGTGATAGTGAGTACTAGACGTATGTAGGCGGAGTACTCTGTGATAGTGAGTACTAGGCGTATGTAGGCGGAGTACTCTGTCATAGTGAGTACTAGGCGTATGTAGGCGGAGTACTCTGTGATAGTGAGTACTAGGCATATGTAAGCGGAGTACTCTGTGATAGTGAGTACTAGGCGTATGTAGGCGGAGTACTGTGATAGTGAGTACTAGTCATATGTAAGCGGAGTACTCTGTGATAGTGAGTACTAGACGTATGTACAGTGGAGTACTCTGTGATAGTGAGTACTAGACGTATGTAGGCGGAGTACTCTGTGATAGTGAGTACTAGGCATATGTAAGCGGAGTACTCTGTGATAGTGAGTACTAGACGTATGTAGGCGGAGTACTCTGTGACAGTGAGTACTAGGCGTATGTAAGCGGAGTACTCTGTGACAGTGAGTACTAGACGTATGTAGGCGGAGTACTCTGTGACAGTGAGTACTAGGCGTATGTAGGCGGAGTACTCTGTGATAGTGAGTACTAGGCGTATGTAGGCGGAGTACTCTGTGATAGTGAGTACTAGACGTATGTAGGCGGAGTACTCTGTGACAGTGAGTACTAGGCGTATGTAGGCGGAGTACTCTGTGATAGTGAGTACTAGGCGTATGTAGGCGGAGTACTCTGTGATAGTGAGTACTAGACGTATGTACAGTGGAGTACTCAGTGATAGTGAGTACTAGACGTATGTAGGCGGAGTACTCTGTGATAGTGAGTACTAGGCGTATGTAGGCGGAGTATTCTGTGATAGTGAGTACTAGGCGTATGTAGGCGGAGTACTCTGTGATAGTGAGTACTAGACGTATGTACAGTGGAGTACTCTGTGATAGTGAGTACTAGACGTATGTAGGCGGAGTACTCTGTGATAGTGAGTACTAGGCGTATGTAGGCGGAGTACTCTGTCATAGTGAGTACTAGGCGTATGTAGGCGGAGTACTCTGTGATAGTGAGTACTAGGCATATGTAAGCGGAGTACTCTGTGATAGTGAGTACTAGACGTATGTAGGCGGAGTACTCTGTGATAGTGAGTACTAGGCGTATGTACAGTGGAGTACTCTGTGACAGTGAGTACTAGACGTATGTAGGCGGAGTACTCTGTGACAGTGAGTACTAGGCGTATGTAAGCGGAGTACTCTGTGACAGTGAGTACTAGGCGTATGTAGGCGGAGTACTCTGTGATAGTGAGTACTAGTACCACTGTGATCTGTGTCGGGGCCAGCGGAGGTATTTGTGAGCATGTCTTCCTGTGGTGAAGCTCTTACCCGGGCTGGACCTTAACAGCAGCCTCCACAGCATCTCGAACATCCTTCCTGCCTCCATCAGGACACAAGGCCAGCACCGCGCTGCCCCCTGGTGCCCGCACAGCCATGGTGCAGCCTGACACTGATTTACAGGCTTTTCCACCAACAAACTGCAGGTAGGACTGAGGAGAACTGAGGGGAGACAGAGAATCTCTAAACTCTTCCTTAAACACTCCACCGTTTGTTTAAACCGATAAACTACTAAAACCACACCTTCCAGGCTCAGACGATTCAGGAATGAAAGCCTGCGACGGTTCTGTCCCAAACCGCGTGTAGTCCATGAGACCCGGAGCGGAGCGAGGAAGAGGAGTAGAACCAGACGGACGCAGAAACTGGTAAAGGCCCTGGATGAACGCAGAGGAGATCTAAATGTATGGAACAACACTGGAGCGCCAGAACAACGGTTACGCTACCTCCTGTCCTCCATCAGTGCAGGTGCCGCTGTCTTTGTGACCAGAGACAGGAAGACAGGGATCCACCACAGAGCTGGAGTTCACCCACACAGAGCCAACCGACAGACTGGGAATGACACAAAAAGTGTGAGTGAAACGACGAGAAAGGAGAGCCACCTGAGCAGAAGAACGACGAAGGACACCTGTGTGCCGTCTCCAGAGCCAGAGTCAGATCTTCGGTCCAGATGGACGCCGCGTGGCCGTGAGGGCTGTGGTTTCCTGAACACACCAGAGAGCATCACCGCTGTAAAGGCCTTCCATCAAAGCTGCTGCTGACTGTCTCACCTGACGTCGCTGGCTTCACTAAAGGTTTGCTTTCTAAGTGGAAACGGTTCTCTGAGCCTGTGTGTGAAGCTTTGGTATCACCAGACCTGAAGCCCTGACGAATGACCAAACACAAACCCAAAACAACGCCCTACAACACATCCCCACGCTTCTGGAATAAGCCGCTAAGATGGCAGACACAGCCCGGTCTGGACCGGTGGCTCAGCTCAGGACAGCGGCTGAAGAAGTCAGTGGAGGTGTAAACGGAGGGGGGCTAACGTAGCGGACTCACGGACACACGCTGCGATTCTGCTTCACGGCTGCAACAACAAAACGTTCTTCCCAGAGCAGACCGAAGCTCTGATAACTAAACGAGTTCATCTGGGGTCTCCTTCTTACCGATGACCACAGCCTCGGCGTTGCTCCTGAAAGTCACGACGGGCAGCAGCGGTCCAGGGGGGGGGCTGACCACGAACGGAGAGGAGGGGGCCGCACCACAGAGCAGCGTGGGGGGGTACTGGGAGCCAGGAGGGGGTGGGCAGGACTGAACCAACTGGGGAGAAAAGCAGATTTATTAGTGGACCCGAGCGGACGTCTGAGTGGATCTTGTTATTCCGTCTCAGTCCAGGCAGCTTTACGTTTAAGCTGGCGAGCTTATCGACGGGAAACGCGCCGGTTGAGTATCACTTCCTGCTTTGTTGACTTAAACTAGGAGAAGAAGAGTAATCCCTCAGATCTGAGCAGATTAAAGTCTAACGATGACAGGTGACACCTCCTGTGAGGTCTAACCAGCTTTGTGTGAGGCTGAGCACCAACCGTGGCCCCCTGCTGCTGAGCCTCCTCTACTGCAGCGTCCACGAGGACTCGGTCTGCATCACTACGCAGACTGACACACTTCAGTCCAGCGATGCGTAGCTTGAGACGGGCGGTGACACTTTCTGACACACTTTCCTGCACACACAGCACCCAGTGGACCTGAGCACAGAGAGAGATGTTAGAGATCCTGCTGCAACCGCTCCAGCTCCAGCTCTTCTTCTACAGCGGGTCGTCACCTCCTTCCTCTTCTTGAAGGCGGCCTGCACCACTTCATCCACAGCGCTGTCCATGTCAGCTGACTCAAAGATGATGAAGGGACAGACGGGCCCGATGCACAAGGAGACAGACACAGGAAGTCCCATCCCTGCTGTGGCCTTGCACAGCGCCGCGCCATCCTGAAGGACAACAGAAACGCTCTCGTGTGAAGTCACGGCTCGGGTTGAACTCCAGACCGAGTAAAACACACCTGTTGGTTCCCGCTGTAAGTCACGAAGCTGGCATTAGGGTCCTGAGCCACTTTAGCACCAAGAGTGACATCACTTCCTGTTAAAACATTAAGAGCTCCAGCAGGAAGTCCTCCTGCTGCCAAAAGCTGAGCCAAAAGGAGAGCTGGAGGGGCGGCGCTCCGACCGGGAACAGCGATCACGGAGTTTCCTGGAGAGATCCGAAACAACAAGATCTGGGACGAAGACTAAACAAGGAACGCCAGCGTGTGATTGGCTCGTTCCTGGGAAATACTAATAAGATCATAAAACAGAGATCATGTGCATGGTTGGGACTACCCAACGTGGGACCCCTCCCTAAAGCACACCAGGACTGTTTCAGCCCCTCACGTGCAGCACGACATTTCCAAATGACTGGAGGACGTCGGCTTGTTTTTCCTGTGGTTGAGGGGTTGAGCTGCGGCGTTTGTGCTGTGTCATTTTCTAAATTAATTAAAAGAGATTACAGATTATCTGACAATCCTAATCCAAAGATAACAGGCATCTCCTAGGAGCTGGGTCGACACCATGGACGCACCGAGGAGTGCTCACCCATACGAGTACTAATACAGTGGGAAAAAAGTACTAGGCAGCACCGATAGTGCGAGTTGTCATCAGCGCGTTGGAAACCTTTGAGGAAGATCATTTAAGTCAAGCGAGTTCAAAGTTTCACAATAAAATACGAGTTTGTTTTTTTATTGATCTAAAAATGTCATTTTGTGGCTCTCGAGTAGTTTCAGCTTGGTGCTTCTGGCCCGTTTTCACCGCTGTGAAGTTTCACCGAAAGGTGCTTAGAATGAAAATGTATTATTATTATTACTATTATCAATATTATTATTACTATTATTATTATATTATTACTATTATCATTATGATATTATTATTAATATTACTATTATTATTACTATTATTATTATTATTACTACTACTATTATCATTATTATAACTATTATTATTACTATTATCATATTATTATTATTATTACTATTATATTATTACTGTTATCATTATATTATTATTAATATTATTATTATTACTATTATCATTATGATATTATTATTATTACTATTATTATTATTACTACTACTATTATCATTATTACTATTATTATATTATTATTATTATTATATTATTACTATTATCATTATGATATTATTATTATATTATTATTATTATTATTATTATTACTATTATTATTATATTATTACTATTATCATTATTATTATTACTATTATTATTAATTTTATTATTATTATTATTATTATTATTATTAGGGCTGCACGATATTAGGAAAACCTGCGATGTTCGTTAACAGTGATTACTATTGCGATGACAATATTACTTGTGATAAATAAAAACTTAACTCGGGAACAAAAATGATCAAAAACAAAGAAATAAAAAATCATAAAATGAGAAAAGCTAAAGATGTGAGGAACGGGAAAAGAAACAACAAGAAAAGGCGATCGGTGGATCCCGGGTAAAGCAGAATCAGCAGAAAGAGCAGAACTAAGCTAACTCAGGTGTGTGTTAACCATCAAAACTAAGTGCTGTCTGCCTGGGGGGCGGGCCTCTGACCTATGAGAACCCACCCAATTGGCCAAATGGGTGAGGAGCTCTATTTGATTTGTTAAAAAAACATCATGCTTCTGTTTGTTTGACAGAATGAATTATGTGTAGCAAACATTTGAGCTGATCGTTCATTTAGATGTTTATCTGTTCTTTGCGATATGCATATTGTACATGCTGATATCGCGATACCGATACATTTACGATATATTGTGCAGCCCTAATTATTATGAATTTACTGGTGATGGTTTCGGCAGAGCTTACAGACTCAGGCTCGTTTTCACCACAGATTTAATTTGTTTTATTGTTCAGAAAACTCAGTTTTATTTTAGAAAATGTGGAATTCTGGAAAATGGGTTTAATTCAGAGGGAAGCCGATCTCTGAAGGACAGAGTAAAGAGTCGTGTGTGTGTGTGTGTGTGTGTTACCCATGGCCAACGCTGGCAGGACTTTGAGCATGAGGGAGTACAGAGAGCTGTCATCAGAAGTCACGACTACGACGACACCTAGAAGAAAAAATAAACGCGTCTCAGAAAAACCCGCTAAAATCTGAGCGGAGCGGATGTTCAGCAGCCAGGAGCCATGCTGGGGTCTGACCGACTGGAGTCCAGTCGCAGAGGAGCGCGTCTCTGAGCTGAGCCCAGCTGCTGTAGAACTGCAGAAGTCTGACCAGAGCTGTTGGCGAGCAGGCGGCCCCACACAGATCACACAGCTCTGACACACACTGACCGTGGAGCCCGAGGACGCTCACCAACCTGCAGGAGCAGCGAGGACGTTAAAGCAGAAAGCACAGATGCTCCAGGAGCTTTGGGAATGAGGTCTCAGACCTGAGCAGCACTCGGGATCTCTGGGAGCAGGTCAGGCTGCTCCAGCTCTTGTAGCCGCTAACGGCAGAGGAGGAACACCGGGAGACGTCCTCGTCCTCAGAGCATACGATGCTGCAGACCACACTACCTGGTGAAGAGGGGTAGAACATGCATCAGGACCACCTGACCTTCTGGGACTGTTTTTATAGCAGAGGGTCTGATCAGAGTTACAGCTCTCTTCGTAAACAACAACAACCCAAACGGTCGTTTGTATAAATGATTTTCTAGTATTTGTACTCTTTGTCTATTACTGACACCTCCCCTTTAGTCCTTTCTCTCCGCCAACCCTCGGTGGGAACCGACTCGTGCAGATTTAAGTTGCTGATGGCAGATTTGACCTCCTGGTGTTCAGCTTCTTCTCATCTTGCACACTCGCTTAGAAACAAGTGAAACTAGGCAGCGAGCTACGGTGATCTGTCATGTTAGCATAAAAGTGGACCGGTGAAGCTGCAGGTACTGCTTGAATTTGCATGGACTGCCTACTTGATGAAGGCTATAGATTCAGATTCTCACCTTTAGGATCAGTCAGAGGGCAGCTCCGTCTGCCAGCAGGGGAGACGAACGCTCCATCGATGAAGAGCCCAAGAGAACGAGAATGATGCTCCAGCCAGGCCTGGCGAGGAGAAAGGAGGCGGTTCGTTATTTAAGCATGATCCAAAACATCATAGTGATAACACGCCACCGAGACATGGATAGAGACGAGGAACAAACAGGTAAAACATTACTGGACCTGCATCAGCTCAGCTAGAAGAGGATCTGACCTTAGCTATGGCTTTCACTAGCCTGGCGAGACATCCTATATATGTACCGTATTTTCTGGACTATAAGTCGCACTTTTTTTCATAGTCTGGCTGGTCCTGTGACTTATACTCCGGAGTGACATATACCAAATTATGTATACCGCGCTGCTGCGGGCTGGCTCTGGTCCAGGTCTCAGCTCCTCTGCCCCGCTGGGAGGGCTTCACACACCGCCATCACCTGCTGCAGCCTGTGGCAGGGTGCTTCGGGCGCTCTCCCCGCCCGCTGGGAGGGTTTGAAACACCACCATCCTCTGCTGGAGACCGTGGCGCGCTGCTAGGCCCTGACGGTTTATTTTGTTATTGTTACTGGTACTTGTCTTGCAATATGAAATACTTGGTCTCAGATTTTGTAAGAAAAATAATAAAATTTCCCCCAAAAATGTGACTTATATATGTTTTTTTCTTCTTCATTATACATTTTATGGCTGGTGCGACTTATAGACCGGAAAATACGGCAAATAAACAGTCTGGCCACGCCCCTCTGAAACTACCCAGACATGGGGCGGAGTCTTTTAAACGGTCACTCTGCACGCAATTGGTCAGAAAAAGGACCAAGCAGGGCGACGAACAAGGTGACGTATTCATCGCTACAGAAATCATTCAATGGCGCAGTCCGCCAAACACCATCCAAGAAGAAGAAAAACATAATTTTTCTAAATAAAGGACTGAAGTACCTCTATCTGCTCTTGACTCAAAGAAAAGCTCAAGTCTAAATCACCCAAAGTTGATGCCAAACCGTTTTCAAATAAGCGCCGTTCCTGAGCTGGCGCCATCTTTGTAGTTCTTCTCAGTCGCAGCTCTGGTACTAAACCCACCCAACAAATGTAGAGTACTGTCATTGGCCAGACACAAAACTGTTTGGGTCAGTGAGTGCGTTTACATGCAGCCAGTAACCCTTTTAAAACCCGAATATTCACAATAACCCGGTTCCGCACGGCCATGTAAACACCGCCAAAAACCCGGATATGCTCATAACCGGGTTTTTAAAAACCCGGTTACTACACCTGGGGTAACCCTTTTCTGACCCGAATGTTTGGTCGTGTAAACACACATCGGGATATCCCCATCAAAGCGTGTGTTCTGCACATGCTCTGTTCGCAAAGAATCTTGGTCTTTTGAGTAGCGAGACGTCTTGTATGCGCCAGAACTCCGGAAGTGAACAACAAGTTGGGAGCAACATGGCGAGTCGCGGCACAGCACCACACTTTTGGAGTGACGAGGAAACTAAAGCGCAAACAAACGCGGTCGCTATCTCTTCCGAACTGGGAAACATGTTGTTGTTTTCACGGATACCGGAACAAGAAGAACCGGAAATGAGGCATATTGCGTCTGGACGTAGTCCATACGTCCTGACGCTAACCCAACGTCCGCATTTACATCGGGTTATGCAAGTTAGAGGTAACTCTTTCTATTTATGCTTGTAAACGGGTTATTCTGATCAACTCAGAAACCCGAATACCGACCTTAACCCGATCATAACCCGGATACTGGCTGCATGTAAACGTAGTCAGTGGTAGACCTGCTGGGGGGACGGCTTGGTGTATGAATTCCGAGTGCCGTTGCTTGTCCATGACAGTGTGTGTGTGTGTGTGTGTGTGTGTGTGTGTGTGTGTGTGTGTGTGTGTGTGTGTGTGTGTGTGTGTGTGTGTGTGTGTGTGTGTGTGTGTGTGTGTGTGTGTGTGTGTATGAAGCGGGCGTTCCTTTCCGTTGCTTGTCCATGACAGTGTGTGTGTGTGTGTGTGTGTGTGTGTGTGTGTGTGTGTGTGTGTGTGTGTGTGTGTGTGTGTGTGTATGAAGCGGGCGTTCCTTTCCGTTGCTTGTCCGTGACAGCGTGAGTGTGTGTATGAAGCGGACGGTCCTTTCCGTTGTTTGTCCGTGATAGCAGGGGGATAGGGGGGAATGGTGCATGCACATGCACACTGCTGTTTCTCACCAGTATCAGCTGATGGAGGGCCCTACTTTCGTTTCACTGCCGTGCACCGTTCGTGTTAGCGGACACGGTAGGGTCGGGGAAGGCGGGGCATGACGCTGGGTGACCAAGCAAAGCCTGGCAGGCCATAAAGCGCTGGCGGAAACCCTGGTCTAGATTAGTAGGGTCTAGGTTTGTAGAGTCTAGATTAGTAGGGTCTAGATTAGTAGGGTCTAAGTTGGTAGTGTCTAGGTTTGTAGAGTCTAGATTAGTAGGGTCTAGATTAGTAGGGTCTAGGTTGGTAGGGTCTAGATTAGTAGGGTCTAGGTTTGTAGAGTCTAGATTAGTAGGGTCTAGGTTGGTAGGGTCTAGGTTTGTAGGGTCTAGATTAGTAGGGTCTAGGTTGGTAGGGTCTAGGTTTGTAGGGTCTAGGTTGGTAGGGTCTAGATTAGTAGGGTCTAGGTTGGTAGGGTCTAGATTAGTAGGGTCTAGATTAGTAGGGTCTAGGTTTGTAGGGTCTAGATTAGTAGGGTCTAGGTTGGTAGGGTCTAGGTTTGTAGGGTCTAGGTTGGTAGGGTCTAGGTTAGTAGGGTCTAGATTAGTAGGGTCTAGGTTGGTAGGGTCTAGATTAGTAGGGTCTAGATTAGTAGGGTCTAGGTTGGTAGGGTCTAGATTAGTAGGGTCTAGGTTGGTAGGGTCTAGATTAGTAGGGTCTAGGTTGGTAGTGTCTAGATTAGTAGGGTCTAGGTTTGTAGCGTTTAGGTTTGTAGGCTACGTTTTTGCTACTGAAACTAAAAACAAAATTCCTTTCAGAGTCTGGATTCAAAGGGACTTTATGGAGTTTTGAGTTTTTATGCTCGCGATTGCCCCCTCAGGCCAAAAGTGTAACGGCAGCTTCAATAGTAGGCTCGTGCACGAGGCGCGCATGCTGTATATGCACACTCCTTAACGATAATAACAGCTGAGACAGTCCCGTGTGTGTGTGTGGCCCGGGAGACAGACGCGCAGCTAATTAATTAAATAATGTGGTTCTGTACCTTTCTCTTCAGCACAGCCGACAAAGGTTTATGATGGGTCAGTCCTCCTGCATGCTCAGATCATTCCCTTCCCTTGCTTGAAAAATTGTTCCAAAATGAAAGTTGAACCCACATCTTTTTTATCTGTGAATTCAATGCCGTTCGGCGAGTCTCAAATAAAAATTTGGGCATCTTACTGTAAAAAAATATACAATTAATGTAAAAAATAAACTCAAAATAAACCATATTCACATCCAGAATCAAACCCAGGTCTTCTGCATGAGTCCGACGTCTCACAAGGTGAGCTAAAGCACCAGTAAGGGTATCTGTAACATTTATATCCTTGATGACAGCTGAAACAACGTCAAACCAAAGAACGGTTGGGAGTGAAAATGGCTATTTTGTTGCTAATTAGCAGGAAATATCTAGAAGAAAGTTCTACAGAAAGTAGCTAAGGGTCCTCAGAAATGTAGCTAGCTTTGTCACTAGGCGTTAGGAACAGCGACAAAGTGGCACTGCCTCTCTCTCTGCTGCTAAAGCTACGGATAGCAAACGCTACGGGCGATGCCTGAGCGTGAACGCGCATGAAGCAGCCTGCTCGACCCGAGCATCTCTCTTTTTCTGTGGTTTTACAGAAAAACAGGCAATCCCAGTAAAAATGCCAGGGCTCATTCTACAGGACCAGGGCATTGCAGGAGAATGTATGAAGAAGACATTTATTATTTCTATACATGTTTTGGCTGTCACACTTCCATAATGTCCCTTTAAGTTGAAGATGAGAACCTTGGAGATCGTGCTTCTTCAGTAGGAGAATCTAAAGCGGAGTTAAAGCTTTATTAGTATGTTGACTTACTAGACCAGTGGTATGAAGGCCAATCTGCTTCAAAATGCACAAACTTGTAGATCTGTTGTGTGTGTGTGCGTGTATGTGCGCGCGTGCATGCGTGCGTTTGCGCGTGTGTGTGTGTGTGTGTGCGTGCATGTGGGTGTATGGGTGCGTGCGTGTGTGTGTGTGCATGCGTGCGTTCACATGCGTGTGTGTAGTAGCAAACTTGTAAAGATAAACAGTTGAAAGAACCTCACATGCAGGTGAAATAAAATAAAGTTGTGTGTAACTTTTTCAACTACAGATCTGTTTCTGCACATGCTCAGTTCCTCTCCTACAGGTGTACCACTCAGCTCTCACACAGGTGAATTTTTAAACTGTTTCTGCAGGATGTCTGTAACAAAAGCCAGCTGAACCAGTGAGCACCCACCTCAACATCACAGGTTGTTCTACTGTGGCCCTTGGCCTCTTTTATGTGCGTACCCTGCGCTAGACTGACCAAAGCACCAATCATTTACAGACCCCCAGACCAAAGTACAGAACTCACCCTCTACAGCCTGACTTAAAACGCTCATTTAGTTTAATAGGTGTTATTTAAGCTTTTATACCTGCCTTTCTCTGGCTTTGTAGTTTACTGTCCTTTCCTTATCACATGTAAAATAAAACTGAATTAGACAAAGACTGCTGTCTGATGACAGAGGCATCTTTTCTAAAGAAGAACCGGCACAGTGAAGCATCTTTAAATTAGGTAAACCACTTCAGTTGTTTTTCCAGAACCAGAAAGCTTTAACTGTCCCTGCGTGAGAATGAACTGAGGCTGGAGAGCACTCAGGTAAATAAAACTCAAGATATTAGAAAACATATCTAAAACAGGGTATCTGCAGGTTTAAAGGAGCCAAACTTAAGACTTTTTAAGACCTTTTTTAAGGCCACTTTGACCAAATTTAAGCTATTTTTAAAATTTAATTTAAGCTATAATTTCCAGCTATTGCCTGGAACCGGTGCTAACCACGCCGCGAACGTGGGATTAGCCATCCAGTTACCATTAAACTTGCACTTCCCCATGGTGCTATCTCCCACTAGCTTAACCAGCTAATGTGCTCATCTAAAAATAGCCCCCCTTTCACAACCAACTGAATGTGTACGGTTCCGCTTACGCCAACATCGTACACAAAAAATGCTGAACGCTAACTAGGAATTTGCGGAAATTTAATAGAAATAAAAATTATTTTGTTTATTGGATCTTTGGTAATTTAAGACCTTTGGAAACTGTATTTAAGGATAATTTGTCATTTTTAAGGATTTTTAAGGCCTTAAATTTTGAAAAGCTAATTTAAGACTTTTTAAGGACCCGCGGATACGCTGTAAAATATCTTTACTGGATCCAATGATGAGCAAATAGCTTTGATGACCACAGCAGCGACGGTTTTCCATGTGCAGATATCTAATCAGCCAATCAGATGGCAGCATTTATTCATCTAGCTGACCTGCTGAAGTTTGCTACACATAATTCATTCTGTCAAACAAACAGAAGCATGATGTTTTTTTAACAAATCAAATAGAGCTCCTCACCCATTTGGCCAATTGGGTGGGTTCTCATAGGTCAGAGGCCTGCCCCCGAGGCAGACAGCACTTAATTTTAATGGTTAACACACACCTGAGTTAGCTTAGTTCTGCTCTTTCTGCTGATTCTGCTTTACCCGGGATCCACCGATCGCCTTTTCTTGTTGTTTCTTTTTCCCGTTCCTCACATCTTTTCTCATTTTTATGATTTTTTATTTCTTTGTTTTTGATTATTTTTGTTCCTGAGTTAAGTTTTTATTTATCACAAGTAATATTGTCATCGCAATAGTAATCACTGTTAACGAACATCGCAGGTTTTCCTAATATCGTGCAGCTCTACTCCAGATGGACTCCAGCAGCAGAAGACCACACCAGGAGTTTCTCCTGTCAGCTAACAACAGGAACCTAAGACTACAAATCCCACAGGATCAGCAGAACTGGTCCAGAAGAGTCTGGAAAACCTTTTACTGGTCTGATAAACCTGGATTTCAGCTGCATCCTAACCTTAATCCAGCTTCTGATGCTACTTCCAGCAAGGCCATGCACCATGTCATCTCTAGTTTCTAGAACTGGACCATGAGTTCACTGGAGTCCAACAGCCTCCACAGTCACCCGGGGCCTCATTTGTAAATCTTAGTGTAGAATAAAATACTCACAAACTAATTGTCCGACCTATAAAACCCACGTGCTCACAGCTGCAGCTGTTCCTGCTTTATAAATCACACCTGTCCTACAACGGAGCCCAGGTGTTTTTGGATCCCACCCTGCCTCCTACACACCCACTCTCTACTGTAAACGGTCAACGCAAAGTACTTTATGAGTACTCTGCCGATAAATAAGACAACTGATTGCTGGCATTTCATGGGTAACTGTGGCAACTGATGTTCAAGTGCCTTTGAGCGACACCGCGTTGTTGCAGTGGTGAGCTGTGGAGCCGAGGAGCGATCTCGGCAAAGAAAAAACGAAAAAGAAGTGATCTGATCTGAAGGAGGAGGCAAAGAGGAAGATGGCAATAATCACTGACGCCATCCAATGTCATGCTTAATTCATTCTTTCATACTTAAACAAGTTTCCCCAGGTCTCCCCCCTACTGGAAATAGTTTCTGGTCATGTTCATGGCTGAAGAATCACTGAAACCAAAGAAACGTGTCTCACCAGAGTGTCATCAAAATCTGCTGTTTGAGCTTTTGACCGCGTTGTAGTCATTTCTGTACCAAAACTCCCCCTGGTCACAGTGATTGGGAGGTATTTTTCTTTCTGAATGGTTCAATTCAGAGGAAATTAAAGTTAATCATTTTTGACAACACGTTTAATTTATTGTGTGCCATCAGTATGTGAAGAGCCTTTCAAGCAACATGACGAAATGCTTCAGAAAACCATCAGACTGCACCTTTAAATGAAGTCACGTGCTTACCTCGGGGAAGTTAATGAGCGTCACATTCAAACACGAGAGCACTGACCTGGCGCGCGCGAGCTCACATGCTAACGTGTGTAAAACTAAAGGTGTTTAAGGAGGCTCGGGGCTTTACCTGAGCCGTGGCGGCGCTGGGAGCTGCTGTTGGGCCGTACTCCATGCTCTGGAAGATTTCGTATACCGTCTTAGCGGCGCAACCAGCCATAATACTGTGGAGGCGACGCTCACCGTGGCCCGTTTCGAAGTTCACTTCCGGCGCAGAGTCTTTGTTTGGGCGTTTTAGAACAGCTATGGCGTCGTTTGCGTTTTTAAAGATGCTTCTGAAAAAGACAGCGTTGTTTCTCACCGTGTCCGCTTCTCTCCTGCGTCTGAGCGCGCGCTACTTCCGGTGTTGTACCGGAAAATGTGTCCCTGTCGTAAAAGGGCCCAGCTGAGGCACTTGTTGAGCAGAGGTCAAAAGTTACCCCCTAACTTCTGGTTGCAGTGACCGTGGGCGCACGTGGGGTCAGCCGAAGGTCCTCTTGCACATTTCTGCTGTAAAACAAAGAGTTGTTGAGTTTTTCACGACAGAAAGGTTTTCATTCATGTTTTTATGGACATTTCTACTTGAATGTTTCACCTTTTTTGTAATTTGTAATCTGTAATTTGAATTGCTTTTATTTTCTGATTTATTCACTTTCTTTAAGTTTGTACGGTACCATGTTCAGCGCCTTGGGCTTCCTGACAGGGTTGCGGAAGGCGCTTTATAAATAAAGCTTTGATTTGATTTCCAAGTGATCCATGTTTTTGAGCAGCAATGCATGCATAATGGGTACGACACGAGGCAAAGCCATAACCAGAAGAGTTACAGCTACAAAACCAGCCAGAAAAAATCTGGGATCTCGCGGTCATCGAAAGATGAAGTGGGACACCCTGGACAGGTTTGCTGTCCATCACAGGCACTAACAACCAGTCACACACTCACTCACACCTTTTAGATCTGTGCGGGGCAACCAGAATACCTGGAGAAAACACATGCATGCATGGGAAGAACATGCCAACGCTATAGAATGTCATTATTTACGTAGCATTGACAGTCTGGACACTACAGCTAAAGACCCTTTTATTTACAGAGCAAGTCACCCCCTGTCAGAGTATGGCCGTGTTCGAGATGAGCCAGTTCTGCGCAGATTAGATCACCTGTGATCGGCGTGCAGTGCTTGTCGGTTAGATTCGTGTCCGACTTGGCGCCGACTTGCTCTGACGTCATGCCTACGTAGGCAACGATAACCTCGTGGGATCAAGGTGGCCGCAGATTTTGGAGCAGTTGCTCTCCACCGGCTGCAAAACCTAGGGGATGACGGGAAACGCCTGGCTCTCACCTGATCTAAGTTCTGATTGGTTCACATTTTGATCCAAACATCCGGTGGTAGAACATGAAATGTTAGTTGGTCACATGTATTCTGTAAATCATGTTATGTTGATGATGACAACTATATAGGCCATAAATAGAAATGTGATTTGTGTTATTTCATCACGTTTCCTATGAGCACACTGAAGCTACAGCTGCTAACCTTTACTTATTATTACAGTCATGTCTCCATATGCATGATATGATATCCACAAGCACTTAAGGATGTGTTTCAGCTGCTAACAGGCACCAGAATTAACATAAATAATTTAACAAGTATGAACTCTTAACGCGATATCTTCATCCATCGTCACCCGCGAGCTACACGTGTAGGGAAATCTGTCCGACTTAAAAGCCGGCTTTTAGCCACTCCCCCTGCTGCATCCGTCTGCTCTCGTCTGTTGTCTAGGCGAGGCGCTGCTCAACTCAAACAATTAAGGCCTATTAAACTGCTTCCACTTCCTGCTTGAAAAATGCAACAAATGCTGTTGCCTAGCAGACCGAGAGGGCGGAGCCGCTAACAAACACACACACACACACACACACACACACACACACACACACACACAGGCTCACAATGACATTGTGACATAACGTTCTAGGGTACCTCTTAGCCAATAGCGGTGGCAGATTTAAATTCAAATGCAGTGTAGAGTTTTTACCTGACAACGGCACAACACTGACAGTTTTAGGCAGAAAATTTTAATTTGAACTAAAATGCACTAAAGTGCAAAACTTTTGACGACACGTATCTGCAGCACGATTAGACACACTTTTATGCAGTTTATCAGAAAATAATAGTTGATATGGGGGTGACTTGCTCTTTAAAGCAGTTTTTACCTAAACCTTTTATTTTCTTATTTTTAACTCAAAATTTTAATCTTTCATCTGTTTATGAAATTTTATAATTTTATGACTTTATTTTTTCTGATGTTAATCTATTTCTGTTGTGAGATCATTATAATTTTATGACGTTGTTTTTTTGTAATCTATGTGAAGCGCTTTGTGATTCCATGTCTGTGATGAGTGCTATAGAAATAACATTTACTTACTATTATGTCGTGCAAGTTATCGGAAACCTGAAACCTGAATCCATTTTTTGTATGTTTCCTCACGGAAGTATTTTGGTAACGGACCAACTAGAAACAGCTCGGAAGTGCGGATACGTTTGTGCGCCTCTTATGCTTGAGTTGGTCTGTGTTAACGTTTGGTGGTTCTGAATGGTTTCAGTTCACATGTAAGCCTAAATAAATTACGTCAAATCCCGGGTTACAATATTTCAACATGCCACGGAGAAAGGTAAGTCAGGACGTTTGTTCGAGGCTGCAGCAGTTCAGACACAACGTCTCAGTAGCGAATGTTAGCTAATTTAAAGGTGAAATAATCAGAATGAAGAAAATAAACATGTTTGATGGGCTGAAGTCTGTGTTTAAGATGTGAATTACCAATAAGTGATACAATGGATCTAATGGTTTGCCAAGTGAAGCTAATAGCAAGTGTTTATTCAGAGTTTAAAGCTATCTGTTTCGCTGTAAACGTGTTGGTTTGGGTTCGTTCTGAGCTGACTTCCAGCAGCGAACAGGGATACCGCACAAGGCTGCCCAGCCATCGGTACCGAACCCCTTCAGCTAACTGCCGAAAACAAGCGTTTTTTTTCCCCGGATGCGTGGAACGAGAATCCGCACCATAACAACCTCTATGATTGGACAGACTTGTAACGAGCGCTACGATGATTGGTGTATTTGGGCCAAGTCCCACCTCCTCTTTGATTTGATTGGTGCTATACAAGTCGACACACAGCTTCTTGTAAAGTTGTCAAATGAGCGCCCTTACATTTGTTTATTTACTTTTGCTCATGAATGTAGTAGTTAACGATGTTCAGTTTACATCATTCATTCACTATCCGGTCATATAAGGAATACGGATGAATGATGGTTTATTAGTCTTCTACATTAGTCGGCATTAAAAATAATTCGACTCGTTTTACTGATTTCTAAATGTCAGAGCCCCGAATGCACTCGTTTCAGAGTTAAAATTTGCCTCATGTAATAACTAGAAATCAGTTGATCTACATAATTTTGTATTAAAACTAAGAAATAAACAAAAAAGATAGCAATAGCTTTGTCCTATGTAATGGTATGGATGTATTTTAGGTATAAATGAGGAGATTGAAGGGGCTCTCCCTTCCCAAACTCCACCTTGTGGGATTATGTCCATGGTGGGCGATGATGAGCCAGATCACCTCCCAAAAGCAGACATCTGCTGTTTCTGAGTGATAAAGCTCTTCCATACAAAATAATACAGCTTATCTGAAAAGTATTCACAGCACATCACTCTTTCACACCTTATGTTACAGTTTTATTTCACAATGGGTTGAATTCATTTTCCCTCAAGATTCTACACACAACATCCCATAATGGCAACGTGAAAAAGGTATTTTTGAGTTGTTTCAATTCAATTCAAAAATACTTTATTAGTCCCAGAGGGAAACTGATTGCTGTAGTAGCTCAGAATAATAATAATAATCAAGTCATCATAGAGGTGTTGTATATTACAATGGCTGTTGGCAGGAAGGATCTCCAGTAGCGGTCAGTGTTGCAGCCAAACTGAAGAAGCCTCTGACTGAAGACACTCTTCCGTTGTCGGACAGTCTTGTGAAGAGAACGCTCAGGGTTGTCCATCATGTTCTTGATTCTCTGGAGAATCCTTCTTTGCATCATCTCCTCCAGCGGTTCCAAAACTGCCGACACTCTGGCTGAGTCCTTGAAAGGGCTTGGAGTTCCTCCATCTTGTTGGCCAGTGATCTCACATTGCCCATTATGATCGATGGAAGAGATGGTTTGAATTTCCTCTTTCTCTGTCTCCCGCTCTGCACCCACGCTTCTTGTGTTTTTCAGCTCATTTGGGATTTGTGGCTTCAGTCGAGGTATTATTTCAGCCTTTCCAATGTTAATCAGCTGCTCCCGATTGTAGACCAGACTGTTGCCATGGTTACGCATCATAACAAATGCTCAAAAAGTGAAAAAAGCTAAAAAATAGCAGTAAAAATCCTCAAAGCTTCACAGCACCAGCAACAGAAAAGTAAAATGTCCAAAAAATACAGTTTTTCTTGAGAAACTAGAGGAAAAAATGCCCAAGAAAAGGCAAAACTTACATGTAGTCAACAGAGCTACTCCAACATGCAGCCACCCAGAGCAGCGCAGTTCCGGAGACGAGAACCAGCGTCAAAAGTACTAAAAAACTTAGATAATGTGAAATCAGCCACAGACTTTATGCCAGGGTTGTGCTCTGACCGTGTCGCCTGTGAGACGTTCAGTAGACAGGTGTGTGCCTTTTCAAATGGTGTCCCGTCAGCCGAATTCACCACAGGTGGTTTCCAGTGAAGCTGCTGAAAGGCGCACAGATCTTGGCGTGAAGGTTGGCTACCTGTAACATGCAGGACGTTATGTTGGTCAAATTAGTGAATGTTGTTGTTTTCTCAGAGGACAGCGGGCAGCAGCTCGGATGGAACAGAGGACTCTGATTTTTCCACTGACCTGGAGCACGCTGCTGAGACCGCTGGCAGGCGAAGCAGCACACGCCTGACTCGCTCGTCCCTGCGCCTCAGCCAGAGCTCACAAGGTAAACTTCTCCTTCCTCTTTAGAAAATAGGTAAACACATCTAACAAGATAATCTTTTAATAAATGACTCAAAAGAAAAAGTATGAGAGGTTTATGGAGGATAAGATGAAGGAAAACGGCTACATGCTAACTCCACACGTGTGTGGCAGTGTGAGCGTCCTGTCACAGTGTCCCGATTGATCGTGCGCCCTGGCTACTTGACCAAGGGGATGTCCCTTTGGCTGACTGGTTAGAGCGTATGACTCTCACCCGGGAGTGTGGGGATCGAATCCCGCCCGGGCACTCGTTTATCCACCTTGCCACACGTGCATGAGAACATGCTAACTTCAAACAGCTGCGGCCGGTGTTGTGCCAAAGTAGTTATCCCCGTCAAAAATTGTTTCCCCATTCACGGGAGTGATACTATAATACTGTAAAACCCGACGCGATCATGGAAACTCGTTGCTCTCCGGTGACTTTACACTCGGTTTACACTTTGTTTTTGTTGGCGTTGCTATCACGAAATAGTTTATTTGCAAAATCAATCACAGTATAACCAATAACGCTAACCCTAACGCTGCCGAGTGTTTCTTCACAGCAAAAGTAAAGGAGGGGTACAGATTATATCAGGCTGTGTGGCCTCGGCTGCCAAAATGTGCCCCCCCCCCCCATCAGTAATGCACGTTGGCGTTGCTATCACGATCACGAAATGGTTTATTTGCAAAATAAGTCACAGAACATTTTCTTTTTTTAGACTTCTTAATTTAACGTGTAATGTTCTCCAAAGTTTCTGTAGTTATTAGTTATACTGTGACTTATTTCGTGACAGCAACGCCAACAAAAACAAAGTGTAAACCAAGGGGAAACCATTTTTGACGGGGGTAACTACTTTGGCACAACACCGGGATTCAAACCTGTGACCTTCCTGCTGTGAGGTAACAGCTGGAAACAGAAAGTTACTAAATATTTTTGGTAATCGTTACTTGTGATTACATCAGTGTTGTGATGCTTATGCCCCCTAATGAGGCCTGGGCTGCAACATGTTTCCGACTTGATATTTTATTTATTAGATATTTTATTTATTTGTTGTTTAGAATAATCAAATTTGCCAGTTTGACCTTGCATAAACCCTTAAGCTCTTCTCTAACACAAATTTTTGCTCAAACAGGTTTAGAAACAAGTTTCAAAAGATGTTAAAGAACAACTTAAGTTTAAAGAGCAAGTCACCCCCAAATCAACTTATTTTTCTGATAAACTACATAAATGTGTGTCTAATCGTGCTGCAGACACGTGTCGTCAATAGTTTTGCACTTTAGTGCATTTTAGGTCAATTTTAAATATTCTGCCTAAAACTGTCAGTGTTGTGCCGTCGTCAGGTAAAAACTCTGCACTGCATTTGAATTTAGATCTGCCACCGCTATTGGCTAAGAGGTACCCTTGAACGTTAGCTGGTACCATATGATGTCACAATGTCGTTGTGAGCCTGTGTGTGTGTATTTGTTAGTGGCTCCGCCCTCTCGGGCTGCTAGGCAACAGCATTTGTTGCATTTTTCAAACAGGAAGTGGGAGTGGAGTAATACTCTGGTAGGGGGTAATGGCCACCAGCAGTGCGGGGGTTCTGCTGTCCTCCAGGCCTCGTGCTGTTTTCAACCCCTTGTTGTGTATTTCAGAAGATCTATGTGATGGTTTTGGTTTATGTTTCAAGGTTAACATCGTAGTTTACCGACTTTAAGATTTTAAGACCGTGTTTTCGTAGAGCGGCGGTTTTTATTATCAGCAAACATCTTCTGTTTCGGTAAAACTGTGAACCAAGTTCTAGTCGGGTGTTTTGATGTTGATCCTTTAAATGTTTACCTTTTAGTCTTGTGTTTTTTGTTTGCTCACCATCTGTTTGCACTTGTTTTTAGAAACTTTTATAACAATTAAACCCATTTTAAACCCACTATCGTGTTTCTTATGTTACCCCCTCCTTCACATTTTAACACCTCCCTTCAGGGACGTAACACAGGGGGTGACTTGCTCTTTAAATGAACGCCCGTTTGAGTGAGAACTGCCCACTCTGGTTGTGGCGTTTCTTCTCATTCATTCCAGAAAACTGCTGCTCAGCACCAAGCAGCTCTCCTGCTGCAGGAGGTCCTGACGAAGGTCCGGACGCAGCTGCAGCTGTGGCAGCATCTGTCTTCTCCTCCGGGCGCAGGATCACGCGCAGCCAGCAGGGAGCGGCAAACGCCACGGCTAAAAAGTACCCGCTGCGCCAGAGCAGGTCGTCTGGCTCGGACACTGAAGTCAACGGTGAGACTGGTGCTCCTTCCTAGATGTTATCAATCATTATGCATCTTTGATGTTTGTGTGCGGTGGTTAGATCCTGCCGTGAGTCCGTGCTCCTCCCTTCAGCCGAGGATGTGGAACGTCTTTAGAAATGAAGGCGTGGCAGAGAAACGGCATGAAACAGGAACAGGGAGAGCAGCCGGCGGGGACGTTTCCTGGTGAAGCTGAACACGACGTACAAGAGAAGAGGATCTGCATGTTTCTGTCGGTCATTGTGCCGCAGCGTTCCAGACACACGGCGTTCCTGATTCTAGTGTGTGTCTGCTGATAACCTGGGCGTTGTTATCGATGGCATTAATGAAACACTCCGGGGGAACCTGGATCTGTTCTCTCACGTCACACGCCGTGGAGGGCGACGGCACATCCAGACCAGCAGAAACTAAAGTTCTGCTTCCTGTTTACTAACCTGAACTTCATGGAGCACGTCTAGAGCAGCTCTGGTCGAGCAGAACGCTGCTCAGGAGAATCGTCACGAAATAATGATCAGTGCAACAACATGGAAAAATAGATGAACAAAAAGTGGATTAAAGGCCACAAAGTAAAAGTGAGTTGTATTTAAACGATGCAGCAAAGCATTCTGGGACTTCAGCATTGCTGGAGCAGTTCTGCAGCATCAGACGGATAAGCGTCTGGGATGTTGGTGCAGGTGAGCGCCGTTCCCAGCCAGACCTCCGGTTGTTTGTGTAGCGCTTTAGAAACACGGTCGACCGAAGGTCGAGCGCTTCAGCCACCATTTAGGGATGGGGAACAGAAGATGGCTGACGTGTTCTTTCATCTTCTGCTGTAATAACATCAATCCAGCTGATTGGATTCTGCTGCTGGTAGCGCCGTCTGTGTGGGGGCCGAACTCTGAGTCTCGATGAATCAGTGGGACCAGACGATGGTTTTATTGAGACAATAGATCAGAAGGTGTGTGGCGCTCGTCCTCTGGCTGACCATGAGATAAACGTGGGTGCAGCCTCCCAACAGGGGCCGAGGTGCGATCCCTCCTGAAGGATGATGGAATGATGTGGTGTTTGAAAAGCAGCGTGTGGCAGAATAATTTAACATTTAGGTTCTGTTGTCAGACGAGACAAAGATGGAGCCTTGTAGAGGTGTCAGTGAGGCTTTCAGACCTGAGAACACGGGTCGGACTGTCCCGCATGGTGGTGGCAGCATCATGATGTGGTCCTGGTGCACCACTCGCCTCACTTGTGCTCTCCACCTGACCTGATCTTGGGACTCTGTGTGTTTTCAGCCACCTGTTGCAGGGTGCTGGACCGCTGTGGCTTTGGATTTAATCTCATGAACAAAATAAATCATCCATCTAAATAAGAAATGTTAGAAAAGAATGAATGTTTTGACGTTAGCATCTCAAACGTAGCGGTGGCCGGTCCTCGGTGTGGCCCAGTTCTTCACTTTGGCCACCTCTCTGGGCTAGATGTTCCAGAAGCAGGAGGATGACCAACACTTCCTGACTGGTTTCTGATTGGGTAAACCCAGCAGGGCTCGTTGATGGCGTCAGAAAGCATGTGGCTGGTGTTCAGCTGCAGGTGGATGGTGACGCTGCTTCTTTGTCTCCAATGACTCGGCAGACGTGAAGCAGGGAGCAGACCGAGACGAGACGCCTCCTCGCACCCCGACAGGAAACGCTCCGTCTTGTGAATCCGACATCGACGCTTCCAGCCCGAGTGTCGACCACGTGTCTTCTGGCAACGACGTCGTGGTGTCACAAGAGGAGGACGAGAGGCTGGCCAAGGAACTGTCCCTGAAAGAAGCCGCCGCCCACGACCTCTCCCATCGGCCCAAACGCCGGCGCTTCCACGAAAGCTACAACTTCAACATGAAGTGTCCCACTCCAGGGTGCAACTCGCTGGGTGAGAGGATGAACACCAACCCAGACGCACCCTCACCCTCTCATGTCCTCATCTGTCCTTGTCTCTGTCCCCTCAGGCCATCTCACGGGGAGACACGAGAGACATTTCTCCATATCAGGATGTCCTCTGTACCACAACCTCTCTGCTGATGAATGCAAGGTGCACACACACACACACACACACACACACACACACACACACACACACACACTGTTAAAGTATAAGGAAATGTAATCTGTCAGGTGCAGACATGGGGGTTAAAGGTCGGCGCGTGGTTACTGACGGTGTTTCCACAGGGCAAGACATCGGTCCGCGACAAACAGGCTGAGGAGAGGTCACAGCAGCAGGATGAGAGCCGACACTCCACCCGGAGCCAGGTGACACACACACACACACACACACACACACACACAAACACACACACACACACACACACACACACACACACACACACACACACACACACACACACACACACAGGGGAGGGCATTTGGCCCAAACGCTACCTTTGAAGCAGCAACACCTGCGGGTCGGAGTGGGAGTGATGGAGGCAGCTGGAGGTGGCATCAGACCTATCAGCCAGAGCTGGTTTCCGTCCCGCCCCGGCCTTCAGGACTCGGTGAGGACTGAAAATGTCCCGAAGACGTGCCGATGTGGACGAGTTACATTTTAAACGTGTCTGATCGTTTGTTGCTTTCCCACCAACTTTACTCGTTCACTAAGAACCGCTGGTGGCATCGGTTCATTCAGCACGTTTAAGCTCCGCCTCTTTAGCAGGTGTTCAGCTGTGACTAACCCATGATGCCGTTCTGTAGGAGCCACTGTTATCCCTCGCCGCCACGCGGTCGGCTCCATCTGGTCCTCTAGCTGGTTTGTAGCGTTGTAGTCACGCTAACCACCTGCAGCCCGGTTAGCTAACACCTGTCGCTAACAGCCTCTTAGTCAGGATGTAATCGTGAGTCAGACGGTAGCCTCTGATACTCCAAAAGCCTGATCTCTCTTCCGACCTTCGGTGAATCAGGATTTGGGATCGGGCACCTCGTGAGTGAGTGAATGAAGGGCAACGAGCTAATTTAAAACGGTGTGTCTGCCAGGCTCCTACGGAGCGTCAGCAGCGCTACAAAGAGAAGGTGACGGAGCTCAGGAGGAAGAGGAACTCTGGCCTGAACAAGGAGCAGAAGGAGAAGCACACGGTAAGCAGACGATGAGATAAAACGTCTAGAGAACCGTGTTCCTGTGTGTAAAAGTTCCTCTGTGGTGTCCGCCTGCTGCCAGGAGCACCACCAGAGCCACGAGACACGCCGGGAGCCTCTTCTGGAGAACATCACCAGCGACTACGACCTAGAGCTGTTCAGGAAAGCGCAGGCACGTGCCTCGGAGGACCTTGTAAGAGAGAACTCATCATCACCTCCCTCTGTTCTCTTTGTGCTCCCCTCCTCCCTTCTGCCTCACTGCTCTTCTTCTCTGTTTCAGTCTGCGGTCGCTCCTCTGCAGCCGCCGGAGGAGTCTGACATAGTTTTGGTAGTTTGGGAAACCCCTTCATGTCGTTCTGTTTGTTTTAACGCTTCAGATCCGCTCGCCCGACCGGCTACGAGTCGTCCCCACAACCACCCCCCGTTTGACCTTTGCCCTCCGGCTGTGTTCCACGCACAGCTCTGGCTTTTATGACCCGATTCAGAAACGGTCCCAGAGAGAAGCCTCAGCTAGTTTCAGAGACTTTCTTTTACCTCGTGTTCATGTTTTATTTGACGTTTGAAGCTACAGAGATTCCGAGTTCTTAAACACTTCAGCCTCACAGCAACCGTCTCATTTTCTGTCTCGTTCTCTTCGTTGAGCTTTACGCTGACCGTGACTTTGGTCTGGTCGCAGGCTCTACTGCGTTTAACTAAACCTTCCTCCTCTCTTCCCCGGTCACCCGCCCGCTGGACACGTCCCGGCTCTGCAGGAGAAGCTCCGCCTGGCCGGTCAGGAGTCGGAGGGCAGCAACATGATCGGGACCATCGTGTTTGGGCGTTTCGAGCTGGACACCTGGTACCACTCTCCCTACCCGGAGGAGTACGCCCGCCTCGGGAGGCTCTACATGTGCGAGTTCTGCCTCAAGTACATGAAGAGTCAGACCATCCTGCGCCGACACATGGTGAGTTCCTGCTGCTGTTGACTCGTGACCGGCTACCGAAGGCCTGTAGAGTCTGAGGGGTAGCTGCTGCTGGGTTTTTGTCGTTTCTCAGAGCGTTGACCTCTGACCTGTGGATGAACTTGTTTGGTAAAAATGCTCCTCCCTGTAAAATGATGAGCCCTGAATGGTTCTTGACTCCCGTGTCTGCCGCCTCCATAGGGATGGGTACCGAATTCAGTACTTTTTAAGGTACCGACCGAATTCCATAGTACCGACCGAGCACCGATTCACGTCATTTGAAACGGTGCCTCGTTTCGGTACCCGTCCATCATAACAAGAACTTGCCTAGACAGCTGCGCATGCGCAAGAGCGTTATGTCGTCGGTCGCTGTGAGCGAGTAGTAAACGGAGCATCATGGTAGAAAGAACGCACGCTAACGCTTGGGTCCACTTCACTAAATGCGACGGGTGATTGGGTGAAGATGAAACCAGCGACAACGATCTAAGTGTGAGGCATCATCGTTTTAATCTGCTCCAGCAGCTAAATAAACTATTTAAGATAACGTTAGCTTGATATGTTAGCTTCCATTGCCACCGTTGTTATCAGCTAATGGTGCGTTCGCTTTCTCCTCGGAAATTCTAACTTCCCAGTAGGAAAAATCAAATGAAAAAGGAGGCAAAAGGAATGAAGATACACAGTAAATTTAGTTCACAGTAAAGATGTTTGCTTCAGTTTAATTATCAGCTTATAAAACTACAAGGACGATGTTAAAATACAAACAGTTGAATGTTATTTATCGTGATATTTATCAAATATGGTTATATGTTGAGAAAAATATATATTTAATTATAAAAGAGAATTAAAATATTAAACACTCAAAAGTATCTAAAATTGGTACCTTTAAGTACCGGATCGATTCAAATGTCAAAGGTACCCATCCCTATGCCTCCATAAACTCCAAACAAGAATAAAGACGGTCCGTCCGTCTTCTGCCAGGGTCTCATAACCCCGGCTTTCTACTGATGTGCCGGCTTCGCGTCCCGACGATCCTGGGGTGCAACGCGTCAGTCGGTGGAAATAACGGCCACTAGTTGCTGCGTACGACGCCTCGCTGATGTTACCCGATGCTTACGTCTCGGCTGTTTCTACGAGGCGTTGGATAAAGGTTCATTATCGTGACAGACATTTCCATAGAGCCCCCCACTCCCACCTGTGGATGCAGGGGGGGCAGCTCTGCTCTAAAACCATCTGAGCTTTTCAGCCATTAGCAGCATGAGCAGGTGGTAACTGGGCGTGGCCAGCAGCCTGTTCTCTTTAACTCGTTCCCTGCCAGTGACGACTAAAGTCGTCATTTTCATGTTTTTACTGCGTGGGCGTCGGACGAGCCCCCACACCGTGAGAACAAACATCTCAGCTCTAAAGTCGATCTTCATCCGCGTACGTCACGCGCCACAAGATCAGGAAGCAGAACATCCATGTGTTAGGAGATCGTTTTGGGCCGCTGCTGTAAAAAAGTGAGGCTCGAACCAGAAAAGCTTCTGCCGATCACAATTCAACAACGGAATATGACAGAAGGGATAACGCGCGGATCCTTCCTGATGTAAGAGGCGAGTCTCCGCTTCGTTTTGGTTGTTTTGGCGTCGACATCATCCTAGCGCGTAACGTTCTGTGACTCTTTAAAAAACAGTAGAAATGGTGAGAAACGCTGGCAGCGAATGAGTTAAAGTGACAGGACCCTAACGGTTCATTCTGGAAGGTACTAAAAATGTGGGGACTAAATCTGCTCAGATTGGTCTGTCAGAACTTCCTGAACATGTTTTTATTGACTTTATCTAACACAAAAGTGTCCTAATGTCTCCTTTGAAGGACTTTTGACTTTTCTCAGACGAATAAAAAGCAACAGCTGATCCTCTGGTAGAGTTAACACGCGCCTGTGTGCTCCAGAGCAGCTCCGGGTTTACATCGGTGGTCGGACCACGCCTCTAAGATCCAGCCAACAGCATCATGGGATTCTTCGGTCTCTGATGCCAGCTTATGTTTCTCCTCCTCTTCAGGATGAAGGTCATGTGAGTTTCTGCTGCTTTTTTGTCTTGAAGGCCAAGTGTGTGTGGAAACACCCTCCAGGCGACGAGATCTACAGGAAGGGGAACATCTCTGTGTTTGAGGTGGACGGGAAGAAGAACAAGGTGAGAAACGCACACCGACCTCGGGCAGGAGCTGGTGATCCTCTCAGGTCCGTGAGTCACACGCGGGACAAGAGGTGCTGATGTTAGCGCGACCGACGCCAGAAGGTTTACGGAGAGATTTTAGCCCTAAAGCTGTTCCAGAATATAACGACTTCTATGAGATCCTCTCCAGATTAAGATTAGGAGCGTGGCGACGCCTCCCCCACTGTGACCCGTGTTTCATCCTGTCACACGCATCTGGTTCTTGCTGGACTCCTGTGATGTAACCCGGGCATCAGGTGGCTCTGGTTTCCTGTTGATCACTAGAAGGTGTGTTTCCTTTCAGATTTACTGTCAGAACTTGTGTCTGCTGGCCAAGCTCTTCCTGGACCACAAAACGCTGTACTACGACGTGGAGCCGTTCCTGTTCTACGTCATGACTGAAGCCGACGGCACCGGCTGTCACCTGGTGGGATACTTTTCCAAGGTAACCGCGGGTCTCGCCTGCCGTCAGCTTGTTGCACGCTGCAGCCGTCACTCGGGATGCTCCGGGAGGAACCAGAATCGGGTGGAAGAGATCGGATCGCACCTTTTTAAACAAAAACTCGACCTTTTAACCTCATCCGGAGGTTTTCAAACGCGATAAAAGTGGCGTTGTTTTCACTTTAACAGGCTCCTCTACCTCGGCATTCATCGCCACGCGGACATCGCCGTGCGTCTCACTGTTTAAGGCGGGCAGGAGTTCAGACACCGTAGCGTGTTAGCTAGCAGGCTAACGTTTGTCTGCGGTTTTAAACCGGACGGCGACGGCAGCGAAGGACGGAGCTGCGTTCAACACTTCGACCCCTCTCAGCTGTTCCCGTTAGGGGTCGCCTTGCGGCCCGGTCTGCTACGGTCACCGCAGCAACTCGGACCGAACCGCAGAAACAAACGTTACTCACCAAAGATGTTTTCTGGCAGATAAACTAAGGAAATGACATAAATACCTAAATAATAACAGCAACCTTTAACCCTCCCACCGTCTTTACGGGTGACCCCGCGAGGAAAGTTGACCGTTGAGCAGGGTTGGGTCCACGTGGCGGGGGTGAGGAGAGAGCACCACCTCACTCCCGTCACGTGGACCTCAAGGGTTAAACCATCAACCCTGCTCAGCGGTCAACTCTCCTCGCGGGGTCACCCGTAAAGACGGTGGGAAACGTGGATGTGTGCTGCGGAAGTATCGGGTCAGGACTCGGTACGGACAGATACTGAAAATCAAGTCAGACCTGGCTGGGGAGCGGACGAATGTGATGGTAACAAACCTCGTGCTGACCGTTTTCCGTACAACACCAGCTGCTCTCCTCGTGCCGACCCGAGCGCACCTCCAGCCTGGTGAGTGCCCCTCCCCCACGCGTCGCTCTCCGTAGGGCAGCCGCGTCGTACTCTCAGGTGGCCGCGGCTCCAGACAGCAGCTTCTGCCGAACGCAGACGTTCCCGTTGAGCCGTCTGACCTTGTGGTTGCTTCTGCGCAGGAGAAGAACTCGTTCCTGAACTACAACGTGTCCTGCATCCTCACCATGCCGCAGTACATGAGGCAGGGCTACGGCAAGATGCTCATCGACTTCAGTGAGTGCCAGCAGCCGTCCTGCTCGGCCGCTTCATCGTCTGGACCAGAAGCTGAAACACGTGATGAGTTTATCGCCGGTTCTGTTGTCGGTCCAACCAGGTTACCTGTTGTCCAAGGTGGAGGAGAAGGTGGGCTCGCCTGAGCGCCCCCTGTCCGACCTGGGTCTGATAAGCTACAGGAGTTACTGGAAAGACGTTCTGCTGAAGTACCTGAATCGTTTTCAGGGCAAGGAGATCTCCATCAAAGGTCAGCCTGACACGGACGCCTCCAGGTGGAGCGTCGGAACCTTCTAGTCACTTCTGTCGAAGCCGAGTCCGAGTCTAAAACGTGTGATGATGTGCACGGCCCCGTGTGTGAGCTACCCCCATCACCTTTGTGTTCCAGAGATCAGCCAGGAGACGGCGGTGAACCCGGTGGACATCGTCAGCACGCTGCAGTCCCTCCAGATGCTCAAGTACTGGAAAGGAAAGCACCTGGTGTTGAAGAGACAGGTGAGACACGCCCACTTCCCTTTCCTCCTCCGGCTTCCCCTTCTGTCCCTAAATAAAGCTCTTCATTCCTGAAGGACCTCATCGATGACTGGAAGGACAAGGAGACCAAGCGCGGTAACGGCAAAACCATCGACCCCTCGGCCTTAAAATGGACCCCGCCTAAAGGGACATAGACACACACACACACACACACACACACACCGACTCTCGGCCCTCGCTGAGCTGACGGGAAGTCGCTCAGACTCTCGTTTGGTTGATCTGGAACCGAAAGGATGACTCCATTCTCCGTTTATTTGTATCAGAAATCTGTTAATTTATTCAGAAGTTCAGCTGAAGGTTGTTCTGCGTATGAAATACGGATGTTTGCAGGTGAGGAGGTCACCCGGAGCAGCCTTTCTGAAGACACACTCCAAACGTTCTAACACCTACTTAAACATCTGGCACTCGAGCCCAACCCTCTCCGCACGCTGCAGCTTCACATCTTCTCTGTTAGCAAGCATCTGGTCAGAAACGCCTCTCAGGTTACCAGCAGCCATGTCAGGTCTAGATTAGGATTAGGATGGGACTACCTGTCTGAAAGGTAAACTCCACACAGCCTCGCTGATGTCGGGAGTTAAGGCTCGTCATTCATTCACCTCGTTAGCGTCAGCTAGAGCCTCCTAATCCAGTCAGAGCCGACGGACCGAGCGCGGGTCCACAAACCAGCTGGCTGTGGTGGGCGTGCAGCAGGCTCAAAGACCAGGGAAGGAAAGGGTTGTGGGTTTAAAACCTCTAGAGAGACCGAATGTTTTGAGCTCCAGATGAATATTTATCTTCTAACGTCACAGAAACGGTGGCTGTTTGAACCCAAAGCTGATGCCTTCATCAGCTCTCTCACACACACACACACACACACACACACACACACACACACACACACACACACACACACACACACACACACACACTCCCTCTGCTCCAGCTGTCCACGTGTGGACCTCCATGTGCCAACAGGCAGGGACACACCTGGACGGGGGGTGGTGATGACCTATTCTTACGTTTTCTGACCTTTGAACCCACCTGAGTCGTGTGGTGTTCGTTACCTGCAGCCAGCTGTAAGCGCTGAAGGCAGCAGGAGTGTTTCTCCGCTGTTCCGGCTCTGAAGGTCGTGGTATACCTGCTGTTTAAGCTGGCTTTGGTGTGTCTTTGTCCACATACCTGCATGTAGCACTGGGGCGCTCCACTAGGGGCGCACTAGAGAACTCTGACCCGTTGGAGAGCCGGGTTTGTGGGTACCACCAGCTCAGTAACTGGCAGCGGTAGACTCCTGAACCCGAGACGGAGTCACCGTGGCGAGTGTGTCCCACACATGTTGTCAACGTGTCGCGTTCCTTTCGGAGACGCGCACAAACCGCGATTCAAACCAAAGCAAGTTATGCACGGCGTCCATTTTAACCAGCAAGTGTATCACGACCCTACACTTTCAGTTCTGACGGTTTCTACCTCCAAGTCTTTAACTTCCCACTTCTGTTCTGCGCGCACACACGAGTGCTTTGTTTGGACCTTTAAACACGTTTCTGAGAGTCTAGCGTACCTGCATGCAGGTGTGTGGTAGGGTCAGGGTTACCCTAACCCTCAGAGGAGGAGCAGGAGGGAAAATTCTCCTCAGCCAAAAGGGTCAAAGGTCACCTGCAGCTCGTATTACCGTTTTATGCAGTCATGGAAGGATGAGGGTTATTGCCGTTGTCTGAGTGAAATTCGTATTTATTCTTCAGGACTTGACCAAGTCAGTTCAGCCTAAATGTGTTTGACTTTGTTTAGCAGGAAAACTAAATGAGTTATTGGAGACAAGAAGACTTGAGATGAGTTATAAAAGTCCTGTGGTCCACACAAAACATGTTCTTAAAGCCCTCTCGCATAAAGAGACTTCAGCAGTTTTCAGTACCTTCCACAATGAGCCGTTTCAGGGCAAGCTGCTGCTGGCCACGCCCACCCGTGTCCCGCTCAAGCTGCAATAGGCTGAGAAGGTCCAACATCCGGGGTGGGCTCAGAGTAGAGCCGCTGCTCTTCCAGGTTAGAGATGCTTCTATTCTCATGTCCCCGTTTGTGACATCACATTGGGGGACTTTCTAAAATGACTCGTTTTAGACAAATAACTCCTAAAACCAAACGCTGACAGAAAACAGGTCGAGGTTTTTTTATGTCTGGAGAGTTAGTAGAGACCAACATGGCTGCACCAAAAGGTGAGTTTTACTGGATATGTCCCTTTTCAGATGTGCCCCGTTCGCTTCAGAAGTAGGACTCTGGATCTGGGAACGCTGTGCAGACCCCCCCCCCCCAGTGGCTGGCTGCAGTACGAGTTTTAAGCCCCGCCTCTTCTGTGTAAATGAATACATAATTACACCCCAGCTGCGAAACCTCCTTCCCTCGGGCGGCTCTGACTTTGCTGATGTGTGTTCACACATGAAAAGGTCTCGCATGTAAATCAGAATTCTGTCTGCGGGACATTTTATAGCTTGGAACCATCGATGTGAATTTGGACAAGTTGTCTCCTGTTGGGTGCTTCCTTGGTTTTGGATCCAGAGTCTGATTAATCTGGGAGGTGGAGGCGGAGCCTAACCCTGCACGCAGACACAGGTTTCATAGATGCACTGAATTACAGCTAAAGGTGGAGGAGGAATGAACGTTGGCGCGTTCAAGAGTGTTAAAGGAAATGAGAATCAGAGACTCTGAAAAATAAACCTGTTGACTTTCAGGGATGGGGTGGAGTTTTTGTCCGATACTGCAGCCAGCCACCAGGGGGCGTTTCCCTTCCTTCCTACTGTTGAGCAGCTGCCCACCCTCGTTCGTTTGTTCTGTAAACATCGTACTACTGATTTAGTTATTTATTTTTAAAGCAGAGTTTTACCTGCGCTTGTATCCAGGTGCGCTTGTCTCTGGGACAAGCTAAGCTAACCTAGCTGTCTCTACGTCGGTGGCAACTCCAATGAAAAAGTGTCAATATTGTAAAATCCAATCAAACTCGCCTGTTTTATGTAGGGAACATTTTTACTTGGCATTGTTTTAAGGAGCTGTTTTGTTGGTTTCTGTTGTGGCCTTTAAGGATTTTGAGTTAAAGGTGTCTTCCTTCTGTTGTGCCGTTTGCCTTCCCGTCTTCTCTCACCTCTCACCCGTTTCCTCTGACGGGAGAGCAGCCTTCTGGGTTTCCACCGAGCCTGTGTTTTAGTTTTTATGAGTTAAGAGTCTTTTGTCAGCCGCCTCTGAGGCAGCAGCAGGACTCTGTCGGGAATAAGCGGAGCTCTTCTTTTCCCGTGTGAGAGCCTAAGCCCCTACAGGTGTGGTGGGGGACACCCCCCCTCCCCCAGACAGGAAGGCTGTGTGCTCTTACCTGCAGCAGAACACGTCTGATTGAATAACGTTGTCAGAAACAGCTTCTGTAACGTGTGGAGCTTCTCTTCTCATGTTTTTTAACACTTTTGGCTATTTTTGTGTCCTTTTCACGACTGAGGACGGACATCTTCAGAGCACCTTAACCTCCTGTCCACATTCCTCCCCCTCCCTCCCCATCAGTGAGCTTCAGTAGCACCCCCGCCCCGTTCACCACTTACTAAAGTTGCGTGGCGTTGAAATATAGCTCAATCGTGCATTTGCACTTGTTTCTCCCGCTCAATAAAATCTATTTGCTGACTCTGATGTGTGTGTTTGTGTGTGTGAGAGAGAGAGCTCGTTCCCATGGCATCTGGAGAAGCTCAGGACTCGGCTGGGTTCAAGAACGCACCACGAAGCCAAAGAAGTGGATTGTGAAAGTTGAATAATTCAAATGCACCCTGATTACAACACAGATTCCTCGGAGCAGCATCCCTGATGATCCTGACCAGCCACAGCTGTGAGCTCGTGTGATGCAGTAAAGTACGTCCTGACCTGCAGGATAGAGTTTATCCATAAACTGTCAGGAAGTTCGTCAACAAGTCCCCAAGTGCCACCTGAGATCTCACAATGTTACAAACAAGGTGCATTGTGGGAAATGATACCATCCGCTTCTCTGGGTGTGTGATTTGGTCTTTGTTGTCGGCGTCTGCTGCTTTAGTCACGGTTAAGTCCGACCCAGTCAACGATTCCAGAGACGAACGGAGAACTACAACTAGACACGGGTATGTCCATGGTGGTGTGAGGCGGGAACACGATGAAACTAGTGATGGGACTCGTGAGGCTGAGGCTTCGACGCATGCCTTGTGTGTGCAACGGGAATAATGAGTCAATGGCCTGTATTTGATATAGCGCCTTCTAGAGTCCTAGAACCCCCCAAGGCGCTTTACAATACAATCAGTCATTCACCCATTCACACACACATTCACACACTGGTGGTGATGAGCTACGATGTAGCCACAGCTGCCCTGGGGCGCACTGACAGAGGCGAGGCTGCCGAGCACTGGCGCCACCGGTCCCTCCGACCACCACCAGCAGGCAGCGTGGGTTAAGTGTCTTGCCCAAGGACACAACGACAGCAACAGACTGAGCGGGGCTCGAACCTGCAACCTTCCAATTACGGGGCAAGCACTTAACTCCTGTGCCACCGTCGCCCGTATTGAGTCAATGGTGGCGTTCAGATCTATTGGTGCGTTCCAGTCGTCCTCGGAACGTGTTTTTCTGAGCTAAGTTAGCCAAAATGGCACAATGAGCACCAGGAAGTAGTCCTCTTAATTTTGTCTCATACGTATGTTCTGTTTTCTTGTTGCTCTTTAACGGCACCGGTAGGTTTTTTTATTGTTATCAACAGTTGCGTTGTTGAAAAGCTTCACGTTGTCGCCAGACTTGACCGGTGTTTATGGTTTTTACTCTTCCTGGCGTTTCTCTGGTTGTATGTGGCACCTGTCGAAGGGCGCGTGTGTCACCATTAAGCTGCGGTTATATAATTCTTTTGGTTTAGTACTCAACCACACTGGTGGCATCCATTTTGTCTGAGTTGGACGCTGAACCACCAAACAAGCCCGCTACATCATTTCCCAGGACAACTGGAAAGCACGATGTGACAGCAAGACGGTGACTTCCTCTACTGTCGTATAAATATTACCGTAATAAGTGTAGTAAGTTCCCCCTACCATAAAGCATCCAGGGTTGCTAACAGCAGATATGACTAAGCATTTATCTACTTATCAACCTTCTGTGTGTGTCTCGTCTTTCCTCATCTAGGATGCTCTGGTGCTGATCTGTAACTGGCGACAGTCACGAAACTCACGGAACGGGAGCGAGTGACTTTTTCTTTAGAAAACTGGGCTGCAGTACCCAAATGTGACCACAGGGTGTCATTCTTCATTTTAACATTAGGGGTGATGGTGGCACAGGAGTAAAGTGCTCGCCCCTTAATCGGAAAGTTGCAGGTTCGAGCCCCGCTCAGTCCGTCACTGCTGTTGTGTCCTTGGGCAAGACACTTAACCCCCCTTGCCTGCTGGTGGTGGTCAGACGGACTGGTGGTGCCCTAGGGCAGCTGTGGCTACAGTGTAGCTCGTCCCCACCAGGGTGTGAATGGGTGAATGACGGATTGAGCTGTAAAGCGCCTTAGGGGGCTCCAGGACTCTAGAAGGTGCTATATCAAATACAGGCCACTTACCATTCATTCTCACATGTTGCACCTTTAAACCGATTTAAAATCCTGCAAACCTGCTGTCTTCAAACACGATGGAACATGTATAATACGTCCAAAACGGGGTTTTATGAGTTAATCTGTGACGTGATGTCATGCTGAAGTATGTAGTCAGCTTTTAAATATCAAATTATTAGAAATAAGTTGTGCAGTAAGTTTCCATTCCAACAATAGTTTTATTTTCAGTAGCAACACAAAACAGACACGTTTGAAGATGTGACTTAGATCCGTACACGTCAACATAAATATGAACATGTAGCGGCGTACAGCTGGACAGAGACGTTTGCACAGAAAATCCAGCAATCAGCAGGAGTTTAGTCTATTTTCATGTGAGAGGAGCTTTCATTAAAGTTGTTTTTGTTCAGTTTTCATCGTCAGAAAGAGTCGGGCTTCCATTCTTCTGCTGTGTCTGAAAAGTAGAGAGAGATGGGACCAAATATCAGAGCCAAGATAGAAGCTTTCAGCGGGACGAGCTGTCGTTAAAATCACCGTTTACCTCCCAAACTCCTCCTGCCCATGAGGCCGACAAACATTTCTCCTTTGTTATTATTTCCTGGTGGAAACAAGACAGACAGGAAGCAAATGTATGGATGATTGTGTTGTAAAGCGCCTTGGGGGGTTGTAGAACCTAAGGAGGTACAAAAACGTTTTCTGTTCTGGACGTTTTGATTTCTAGGGGAAAAACACTTGTTTTATTTGATTTCTGATGCATTATTTTTCAGATTTTTGGGTTGTGTTCAGTTTTTTCCAGTTTAACGGCTTCAGTAGTTAAAATCACTCCCCCGCTCTGACCACAACATCTGGATGGTACTCACGTTTCCGGCCCAGCCTCAGAGACACACCTGCAACAAATGAAGAGGAAAAGATGTTTTGGGGGGAGAACATGGGACGTGTCGCTGTAAAGATGTTTGCTACCTGGGCTTCTTCCCATCAGGCCGTGGAACTGCTGAGCTTTGGACCGCTTGATCAGATCTGCAAGTCTGATAGTTATTCCTCTGTCAAGCGGGTAACCCTACACACACACACACACACACACAAGTTCTGTTAAAGCTGACTGCTGCTGCCATGCTGCTCGTCTCCAGGGTTAAACTGATGCTTTAGCTGTCATCCATCTTCATATGAAAACTCTCATCTGATTATTTTGATGCAAGAAAACAAACCGCTTCCTGTTGAGTGTCCTCCTGCCTCTGTTCATCGAACCACCTCTGTGTGTGTGTGCGCGCGCGCGTGTGTGTGTGTGTGTGTGTGTGTGTGCGTGTGTGCAGCAGCAGCAGCATGATCTGTAGCCTGAAACCAAACCAGGTGTTTTGTTAAGGTTACACATTAGGATCAAACAGCATTAAATCTGAAACCCTTCAGTGAAAGCTCTACAAGAGTCACGTGGTCTGGCATAAACCCGTGCAGGCAGGTTACACGTTACTTTTATTTTTGGCTGTTCATTTATTCCCATAAGCAGGTCCAACTCAGGTTTGTTTTTGCTAGATCATTTTCTCTCCATCTCACTGAAACACGACCATCTTACCTCCTAAATGTTGTTAAAGCCATTAAAACACAAACGGAAGTTTGAGTTTCCATTAATAAACTAAAGTAATCAGATTTGTCATGTAACTAACTACCTGCCACTTCTGCACCGTCCACGTCTCCCCGTCGTCGTCCTCCCCGGACAGCGGGTCTCCCAGCGCGGACAGAGTCTGCAGGAAGCCGAGCAGCAGCAGCAGCGCAGCCCACCTCAGAGCCTCCATCTGGGACACGATCAGAGCAGCGAACCGGAACGAAGCTCCGCTGGTGTGGATGCAGGCAGCGGGGAGAGGACGGGCTGGAGTTTCAGCCGTCAGTGCGCTGCTTCTTATAAACTACTGACCCCCCCCCCCCCCCCCCCCCCCCCCCCACACACACACACACACACAAACACCGCAGCATGGGGGGGTTATTTATTTATTTATATATTTATTTATCTCCAGTCTGACTTGGGCGTCAGCAGAGGTCCCAGACAAATGTTTGTGTCAGATCTTCTTTTAATTAAACTTTATTATGAACAAAGAAAGAAAACGATATTAACTATACAACTACAGATAAAAATTATGAGGCGCTTCACAAAAACAAAAAAATATTAAAGTATAAAAAAGATTTCAATAAATTGTTAAAAATATGTTTAAAATGAGAAAAAAATAAAAACTGTGACTGAAAAAATGTAAGGAAGGGGAGAGAGGGAATTCAGAAGATCCCGGGAAAGGCGGAACAAGAGCAGAACCAGGAGAGAGGGGTGATGGAGGTCACACCAGAGTGCACTGATCTCAGGCCCAGGGGGAGAGAGGTCCAGAGTCTGGGGGCCACAGCAGCAGATGATCTGTCCTTTGACCTTTAGCCTGGTGCTGCACAACAAGCTGGAGGAGAAGCGGGGTGATGTGGGTGTGTTTGGAGGACTTGGTCAGAAGCCGAGCACAGGCGTTCTGAACCACCTGTAGACGGTTCAGGGAGGTTCTGCTCAGACACGTGAAAAGAGAGTTACAGTAGTCTAAGCGTGAGGAGATGAAGGTGTGGAGAACTGTCTCAAGTTCAGAGCGGGACAGAATGGGACTCAGCTTAGCAACGTTCCTGAGATGGAAGAAGGAAGAGCCAACAAGAGAACTGACATGAGAATCCAGGGTGAGAGCTGGGTCAAAGGTCACGCCAAGATTCCTGACAGAAGGTTTGGTGTGAGAAGCAAGCTGACCAAGAGAGTCTCTGACTTTGGGAACCAGCTTGTCTGGGGCACAGATGAGGATCTCAGTCTGATCTTCATTCAGCTGAAGAAAGCTCCCACCATCCAGGTTCTGATAGAGTCTAAGCAGGTGTGTAACAGCTGCAGCTTAGACATCTCATGGGGCTTAAAGGAGATGTACAGTTGGATGTCATCTGCATAAAGATGGTAGGAGATTCCTTTGAAGGAGCTCAGGATGTGCTGAAGAGGAAGCAGATAGAGGAAGAAGAGCAGAGGCCCCAGCACAGAACCTTGTGGGACACCATGGGTAAAGGAGGTGGTGGAGGACCTAAACTTGGAGACGGCCACAGAAAAGGAGCGCTCAGAGAGATAAGAGGAGAACCACTCCAGAGCAGATCCTGATAGGCCTACCCAGTCTCTCAGCCTCTCCAGTAGCAGGTGTTGGTCAACAGTGTCAAAGGCTGCAGTCAGGTCCAGCAGGACCAGAACAGAACCGTCCCCTGCATCACTGTGAGTCAGAAGGTCATTAGAGACCCTAAGAAGAGCTGTTTCAGTAGAATGAGCTCTACGAAAACCTGACTGGAAGCTATCATAGATGTTATGTTCATCAAGAGCAGCTGTGAGTTGTTTAGCCACAACCTTTTCCAAGATCTTGGAGATGAACGGAAGTTTAGAGATGGGTCTGAAGCTGCTATGGAGAGAGGGGTCGAGACTCGTTTTTTTAAGAACCAGAGAAGCATTAATTATAGAGAACACGCTGGGACCGAGGGACCGAAAATCACTTTTAAACAAAGATAAGGGTAAGATGTGGAGGGGCATGCAGAGGTCTTCATAGAGTTAACTAGTAAACTACATCCCACTTTTAAAGAAAGTGGAAGATGATCTTGCAAGATGGAAATCCTTATCGATATCACTCATGGGGAGGGTTGCTACAATTAAAATGATGGTCTTACCCAGAATAAATTACTTATTTTCTGGACTCCTCAATTACTAAATTCCTTTGGCAGGATAAACCTCCACGAATTAGCTTAAAAACGCTTCAGAAGACCAAAGACAGAGGAGGACTGGATTTACCCAACTTTTATTATTATTTCTTAGCCAACAGGCTGCAATATATACCAAGATGGTTGCAAGATAACCCACTAGATGAGTCCTGGTTAGATATAGAACAGACACTTTGCAATACGATAGAGCTTTCAGACTTACCATTTTTTAGCTCAAGCATAAGAAAACATGAAGGCTTCAAAAGTATTAGTATCAGCACTTCTCTGACAGCATGGTGGGAGTATCTTAAAATGACAGTCTTCACTAGTACCATGCAGACGCACACCTATCTGGAATATCCTGATATTTTGCTAAATAACCAAATGATGAACCTTCCGGACTGGAAAAACAAAGGAATCACATAGCGATGACGGGGGACCATTGATATTGTCCTGCGGGATGATGTGGGTGAGGGGTCTGAGTTTGGAGTATCTGGACGTTCTCTGGAGGTGGGTTCACTTGGGGTGTCTGGGACTGGGGGGCCGTTGTCCCCCTCTGGAGGTGCTTGGGTTGCCTCGGGGGGTGGACTACTGGCGGTTGTGAGTGGGGCCCCTTGGAGGTCTTGGCAGCAGCCATGGGTCACTGCCTGGCAGCTGCATTGCCCTTGGGCGGGTCTGGGTGGGGGCCTGGGGACTCTGGGTGGGGGCCTGGGGACTCGGGGTGTGGGGGTGGCCGGCCCCGTGTGGGGATCTGGGCGGGGCCTTGGGGGTCGGGTCCTGACATGTATGCTGCCGGGAAGAAGGCAGGCACATGCAGCAGTGCCTGGCCTGGGTTCAGGGGCCTCAGGTAGACCTTAGCTCCTCCACTGTCCCATCGCAGGGGAGGGGGAGGACCCAACCTTACCTGGATGTCCCATGTCTTATATATTCTGGAAGTTGTGCAAATGCAGGGATGGGCATAGATATTCTGCTGGGGTGGGGCTGGGTTGGTGCCCTCGGACTCCGTGAGGCTCTGTAATGTTGCTGCTTTGGGCCCTGGCAGGATGGGCTGGGGTCTCCATGCCCTGGGTAGAAGTTTGACAACAGAGGTGCCTATTGGGGCCAGTGGGGGAGCTGGCTCCCTGGAGGGCTTAGCCCAACCAGCCATTCCTCCCCATCCCCACATATTTCTCTCCTCCTGCTCCCTCACATCATCACACAAACATGCACATAGGACCTTGGGGGGGGTGGACAAGTCAGGGAGTGCGGGTATGGACCCCATTTCCACATTCCTGTGGCAACCTGCCCCCCAATTTTATTTGCACCTTATACACTTCCACTGATGACATTCCACACAAACACACACTTAGGGCCTTGGGAGTGAGCACATTCAACGGCAGTTGGCAGGGGGATATCTCAGCCTCCTCCCTAGTGCCGGTGCCCACTTCCAATTTTAAACAGCACTTAGACACTGATGGCTGAGGGTGTAAGTGGGGTGGTGCAGTGGCATCAGCTGGCATAGGCCGGACGATGCCCGCACTGCCCGCTCACCACAGCCATGGAATACACCTCATGATCACACAACACTATAATGGAGCAGGTGGAGGGAGACTAGGGGTCTTAGCACACCTCTGTTGTTGCTTGGCTTCCTGGGGCTGGAGGCTAGGAGGGAGATCCGGCCGTCCGGTTGGGGTCTGGGGTGGTGGGTTGCTGTGCTCAGCGTTGGGCGGGGGAGCCTGCTCATCAGCACCCCAGCAGAAAGGGTCAAACTCTGGTAACCGGTGGTGGTTGTACCCCATGTGCAGCATTACCGGGACCAGAGTGAATAGGGTGTGTATGGGGAGCATGAGTGGGTGTCCGGCGTGCATTTTTGTAAGTCTTAGGTTGTATGTGCATGTGTGAGCATGAGGGAGGGAGCGTGTGACTGTGTTTGTGTATGACTGTATATGTCAGGTGGGGCCTTTGACTCCTCCCCTCTCCTGGGACCTCCTTTGATGATATAGATCTTTGTCCCCCCTCCCCCTGCCACACCTGGTGTGGGGTGTAGTGCCTTGGTCTGCCTGAGTGTTCGTGTCTCCCGGGTCAGGGGGTTTAAGATTTTTGGCGTCTGCCTGACCAATCCCAGTGGCTGCCTGGTGGGGTCTGGGTCCCTGGGCTCTGCTGGGTCCCCGGCGGGGATGGTCGCCCCTGAGTCCCGGGTCGCTGGGTCCCGGGTCGCTGGGTCCCGGGTCGCTGGGTCCCGGGCTCGGCCGGCTATGGGGTGGGAGGCTGCGGGCGGGCCTGTGGGCTTGCCGCTGATATCTCCCGGGACTCTGCCGGCTGCTGGTTGTGGCCCCCCGGGGCGATCCTCTGTGCCTCTCGAGGGGGGCAGGGGCCTTTCTGTTTGCAGTCTCCTTGGGGTTCCTGTGTTCTGGGGCAGCGCCTGGATCTCTGGGACTTGGAGCTCCCTCCATCTCCTACACATCTTTGGGGGGCAGATCTGTGGTCCCTCACACTCTCTGTTGGACGCTCCTATAGAGAAACCTTACATAAACAAGCGTGTGTACACACACAGGTGCTCACATGGTGCTCTCATAAGTATGGGCTTGGGCACGTTAAACACATGTCTCAAGGCTATGGTTGCCACTTAATGCACTGTGGTTTATTATCGTGTGATTGTTCAGTTAAACAATGATGATTTTATATTTCATCATCAGGTTGACGCAGATAGCTTGCTCCTGTTGTATTGTTATGTGTCCCATTTTTTTCTATTCTTTCTCTTTCTGCAGATCTAGAAGCAGACTCTTGTTCATTATTGTTTATTTCTGTGGAACCCCCCCCCCCACCACCACCACCTTTTGTCTTTTCCTTTCTCTTTCACCTCTGTCTCCGTGTCTGGTCGGAATTACAAAGCATTCAACAACAATAACAATAAAGTTTTAAGTATCAGGCGTGACATTGAAAGCAAACGCTTTGATGCTCCACCTGAGAGTAAATCTGTAAGGCTTGTCACCAGCATTCAGACATCAATTCTGCTTGCTTCACAGCCAGACAGGACAGGGTAAAAAAAAAAAAATAAAAGAGTTATTTAGTTTGGTTAACTCAGGCAAAGAAACAGGAGCAAAGCTATCTAGGCTGATGGGCCTGGTTGGAGTCGGGAGAGGCGGCGATAAGGCTGAAGGAGAGATGCTAGATCTA